GAGCGTCTTCGTCTCGTAGCGGCGCAGCTAGCACGGAGGTAAATCCAGGCAGGTGTCGTCTCGAGCCAACTTCGGCCGAGCAAGAATGACGAAGACGGACACGCGGTAGTCGGACCGACGTATCGGTATTTCCAACGAGAGAACGAGAAGAGACGACCGAGGGGGAGAGAGAGAAAAAAAAAGGAAGAAACGACACGAGGTACACGGTGGTAAGACAAGAGCGAAAGAAAGAGAAGAGGGAATAGCAAGCGCGAGCCGCGAGCTCGAAGAAGAATATAGCGGAAAGTTAAATGTTGCATGAGCTTCGAGGAAGAAGAACAGCGGCGAGATTCTCGGTATCGATTAACCCCCTGACGGAAATAACGTACGACCGGCAACGAACGAGCGATTTTTCGATCCTCGCGCTCGATCGCGAGAACAGCGACACCTCCGCCTCGGAATCCCAAAGAGGTGGACGCGTTATCTGCCGAAAGGATCGATCTCGGAGAATCTGTAAAAGGTAGCGGAGGGAAAAAGAGCTGGTAGGCGGAGAGACGGAGAGATTCGAGGGCAAGAAGCGGAAGCCTCGTGCCTGACGGTGAAGACCGCGCGCGACGTCTTCGACCGCGACGTCTCGTCGATATCCGTCGCGGGGACCGATACGCGCCGGTTTTTCCACGGAGAACGAGGCGGCGCGATATGGCCGAACAAAACGAGAAAGATCCTCGATTTGCCTCTATACTAGTTTTTCCGAGTAACGGAGCCGAGAGGCGCGTCGCGTTTAAAGGTACGAGACGAGACGTACCCGCGGAGGAGCAGAAAAGCCAGAGAAACGAGCCACTTGTCACCAGTTTACCGTGCTTTCCGGCCAAAGGAGTGTCGAACCCTTTTCAACCGGTCCGAACCGGTCGGCTGCCGATCGTTTTCGGCTTCTGCGCCTCTTTTTCTTCCTCTTCTTCTTCTTCTTCCACCGCCACTACCGGCGTCGCAGCTTCTTCCCAGGGATTCGCGGTGCTAACATTCCGGCGCTATAGCAGGGGACCTTCCTCGGCCAACGAATATCAACTTTCCCACACGGATCTCCTCGGGGAGCGCGCGTTCGAAACTCCGAGCCCGCCCTTCCTTTCCTTTCCTTTCCTTTCCTTTCGTTTCGTTTCGTTTCGTTTCGTTTCGTTTCGCGCGACAGTCTTATCGGGGAAGGAAGGGAAAGACGAGATGGACGCGTGGAAATTCGAGCGATTCTCGATCGGATCCGAGTGAATCGGATGGCGGGGCCCGCGGGGTCCGCGGCCGCGAGCCAAACTTTCCCACAACGAGCGTTTCGTCGCCCCCACTCGGTCCGTTCCCTTTTAAAGAGCGCGAGCCCTGCACGGGTTCGCGATCGGCCACGGCCGACGAGGGAGAGAAGAAAAGAGAGAGGACGTGACTCGCGCGCATCGCGGCCCATCGCGAGAACGAAGACGAAGGTAAAGAGAGAGGAGAGAGAGAGAGAGAGGAGCGACGTGGACCGAGTGGCACGGAAAGCTTTTTCTGAAATCACGGGACGACCCGTCCTTACCTCGCTACCCTTCTCCCTTTCTTCTCGTTCGTCTTCTCGCGACGCGCAGTCGGGCATCAATAATTTAACGCCCTGTCGTACCGATAAACCTGCACACCGCTCGACGGCCAACAACGAGGAAAAGGAAGAAGCCGAAGCGGAGGAGGGCGAGGGACAAGGCGCGCTCTCGGTTCGCGAGACCACTCGGAGAAAACCGAGGGAGAGAGAGGAAGCGGAGAGGAGAACACAGCGTCGTATCGCATACGAGCAGAAGAGAACCATCGTGTGGACATCGTGGATCAACCCGAGTTTCTTACGTCCGTTCGTTCACATATAGTCAGTGACGCGTCGCCCTCTCGCTCCCGCCTTCGCTACCTTGCCCTTTCTCCCTTTCCCTTTCCCTCTTCGATTACAAGCGGCAAGAAGCGGCAAGAAGCAGCATTACACGAGACACGCCGCGCCGACAAATCGACGGATTATGCCGGACGAGCGCCGACCCACCGGGAATAAATGAATTGGCTAACGACGCGAATCCTCTCGTTACTCGAACCCCGTCCCACGCCTCTCTCCTCTCCTCTCCGCAGGGGCCTTTCCTCGCCGAGTTTTCTCGCGGGTACGCCGCGATCCTCCGCGCGCCATCGCGCCGCGAGTCCAGAGAAAGCCCTCGATCCAGCAATCGCGGACAGCGGGTCAAACGCGCTGCGTCGCTAAACTGCGCCAGTTACCGCGTAAACTCGGCTAATGAATTCGACCAGAGGATTACGCCGCTGTCACTAACGATCCGGTAACCCCGAGATATTTCCATACGCAGTTTCGTGTCAACGAAGCTTATCAACTGCCCACGCGATAATGCCGGTATACATCGGACAGAAACAACGGAGGTCCACGCAGCGGATCGATCGTGTCTTTGGTAAAGCAGCTAACCGAGCCACTCGTAACTCACGGACTCGGCTAGCCCATTAAATACTCTTACGCAATCCGTAGGATCCGATAAATGGGATGTGCATTACCCTGCAACGTTTCCGCAGCCCTACAAGTACCGACGGGGATGTAAACGACGAAAGAAAAACTGCAAAGCTCATGTTTGCGAATCAATCCGATTCGTCCAAGATGAAATTCCTACCTGCCACTGCGTCATCGTGGTCGTGACGCGATCCCATTGCGGTGTTGCGGCTGAAAAATCGTGGAAATCCTCCCCGTCTAGGGGAGACAGCGCGCGTTAGGGGTGTGGACGAAAGGTACGGAAAACCCGCAAGTTCCGTCGTACGTTGCCTCGCGTCGCGGTTACACGGCGAACAACGAATCGGTACAACTGTAACGACTTCGTGCCCGGGAGAAAAAGAGAAGAATAGCAGGCAGGAGGAAATAACGTCTAATAAGCAGACGCGAGATCGAGGGAGGAACGCGATGATTTCCGATGCCGTGCCGAACGCGCGATATCTTTCGAATTCCTGGCGCAGCTTTAGCCTTCCCTCGTGGAAGCTTTCAGGAAGCGAGCTACTAATTAGCGATTACCACTCGTTCACGCGGCACTCGAGAAAGAATATAATTAGCACTCACCTTTGTGCCGATGCGCCGTGAAACCCTCGACCGGCCGAACCTGGCCTCTCGTAAAAAATCCGTAGAGCGTTCTCTTCGAAGAGTCATTCTCGACCTTCTCGTCGTTCGAACAGATGGAAAGAGGCACCACCGCGGTCCTGCTTTCCCGTGAGTGTGAAGAGGTACGCGACGACCTCTTCCTGTGCCGCTGCATCGACGAGCACTCTATCGTGGAAACGAGAACAAAATTAATGAACTTTTTGTCATTCCGAGTTTCCGTCCGATGCGCCTGCCAGAGGTTTTCGCTCCACGCAACTCGATCGGAACCGTTTAAATTTTATTCTTTCCCTTTTTCCTCTCGTTTTCCCTCTCCTCTCTTCTCCCTTGCCCCCCCTCGCGCCGTTGGATTTTCATCGCGTCCTCTGCACCGTAGAATCGTTTCTTTTCCTCTCGATGCCGATCGATCCCGCGATTGTTCCTCCCTTGGCGCTGCTTGAAAAGGCACAACATTTCCCTCTCGTTCGTTTTCATCCGTTTAAACGAACCTGGCGATTTCGTTCTCTCTTTTCCCTGTTTCTCGTTTCACGATGTTTCAGCCAGCGACGCGAGAAACGAGCCAAGATCATGAGCGATTACGCCTACGATAGGAGAGGCAGGAGAGAGCAGCAGAGACGAGGAGGAAACAGAGGCGACGACGAAGATTTCGACGAACTGGGAAGAAACACTATGCAACGTTTGGACAGCATACAAGACCCCGGGAAACGTTATCTGCTCAGAGAGTGCATAGGTTCCGGCGTGTGCGGAGACGTTTTCGAGGCTATCGATCAGCAAGCAGGTACAGTGTCGCGACACGCACCGTTCGATACACCTTTCAAATGCCGATTCTACGCGCGTGGTGCACGTTCACAGGGAACAAGAGGGTGGCCGTGAAGGTGCAGAAGCTCACTTCGGAATCGCAGTCGCTGATCGTGGAGGAGTACAAGGTGCTCCGAGATCTGGCGGCGCATCCGAATCTGCCGGACTTTTACGGGATTTACCGGCGAAGATCGGGCAAGAAGACCGAGTACGATCAAATATGGTTCGTGATGGAGGTAAGGCCCGATAGAACGAGTCGATCTTTGCCCGCGGGTTCGTCTCGCAGCCACGGTATAATCGCGCCCGACGTAGGTGTTATTTGCCTGGAGAACGTTTATATCGCGTTCGAGCATCGATTCCGAGATACACCCGTAACGCCGCTCCTCTAACATCGTAATTCTTCTGGGAAAGAAAAGAAAAGGGACGAAGAGGTGGAGGAGGAGGAGGAGGAGGGGGGGGAGAGGAAAGGAAAGAAAAGGAAAGAAAAGTGCGGAGACCGCGAACAGACACGGGAGAAGAGGAGCGAGGGTGGGGCCCGGGGGGTCGGGCGCAGGGGGTGGGTGAGGAGAAAGAGGGAAAGAAAAAAAGAAAAGAACGGAAGGCAACGGCGATGGAAGAGTTGCTGTACGTACCCATGCCAGGACCCGGAGGCAATTTCAAGCATTTGAGACGGTCGAATACACGGATAATTTACGACACGCGCGGCCATTAAACAATCATTAAACTCGTTCGTGTACGCAGGTGAGCCCTGGCACGTCGCGGCCCTAATTTACGGGTGGACCTCCTCGGTGCGCCCGAAATATTATTACTTATCTCAAGCAAAGCGTCGATATTCGATTTAACGCATACGCGTGCACGTTCAACCTTTCATGGTCCCTAAATACCAACGACGTACCTCCGTCTCTCTTCCCTTCCCTTCTTCGTTTATCGCGCTCAACGCGATCTTGCCGAACGCCACGTTATATTTACGAATGTTCCTACGTCGGAGCGAAATTGGTAATAGAGCGGTGTCGTGGATCGCTCGTTGCCGATGATTATACGCTTCTGCCTCGGCACCCCCTGCCTCCTCCCCCCCCCCCCCCCCGCGCGCGAGCATCGGGCACACGGGCAAAGAAACAGGTGTACAATAGACGCGGTGTGGCTGGATAGCGGACAAAGAAAATAACCACGATTTTGCAAGTCAATCGATCCCGGTAAAAAGCTCGGTAAACGTTCTCAAAGGCAAGACCAGAGCGAACGGACCGGGAGAGAACGGGAGGCGAGGACCGAGCTGGAAAAGAGGAGGACGACACGCAACGACAATGTGCCAAAGATTTATCGCCGATGGTATTTCATATCGTATCGCGGGCAGGTTTTACGGGCACCGTATAGACGAACTTTTCGTGCAGCTCTCGATGCGCTTTCGCCCGAAAGAATGCATCGACCGCGTGCATCGCGTGCTTGCTCCGTCCGCTTAAAGCTCGTACCGTACGGCTAAATGCCTCCCCGTCCGGATTCATCGGGGCCACGAAACCCTTACACGGACGAATTTACCGGGACGTGATTCAAATTTAATCGCGGCTTTTACACGAGCTTTCGCCCGCCCGGGATAAAGCCGGGATCGATCCGGGATAAATCCGGTATAAATCCGGGATCCAGGATCGAGACACGCGGAGGAACCGTGACGCGCAGTACCAGATGTCGAGATCGCGCCGGCAATTACGCGCAATCTCGCGGAAAATTAAGCTCCGTCTCGAGTAGCACGATTTAAATCGCTTCCGCAATTTCGCGACCTACGAAACAGCGACGCAAATCGAAGATTGCTTTCCGTAAACTAACGATTACGATATAATTCGAGGAACAAGTACGCCGGAGTGACTCACTCGTGTATCTTAACGCCGCTTTTACGATCGCGCTACTTTCGGCTACCTATCCGAATGGAAAGCTACCAGGCCACGATGTTCTATCGCCGCTGTATCACGAGACCGTGGTACACGTACGCGGTATCATCGCGTGCGAGTGGCACGGTTAATTCGCATTTTCCGAGAGAAAACGCGACGACGAGGATCAATGATCGTTCCTATCGCGTGGTTGCAGCTCTGCGAGGGTGGGACAGCCATGGACCTCGTGCATGGCCTGCTGGCCATGAACAAGAAGCTGCGCGAGGAACACATCGGCTTCATCCTGAAGGAAGTGATCCAGGTAAATCTCGCGAAACGCAGGTGGACGAAGCGCTCGAAACATCGCGATCTCGCGGTACCTCTTGTGAGCAAAATCTTCCTTGCGTCGCTTTCGAGCGAGCATTCGACGAAACACGAAACGGGGAAGAAGGAACGGAGGAAGAAAGGGCGGACCGAGCTAGTTCGTGCCATATTGCCGATTCGGCGTCGTCGTCGCGACGGGGTAATTCGCGAGTCTGCGAGTAGGCGGAAAATCGGTGGCGCATGGGAAGGACGGCGAAAGACGCGCGTCAATGGGTCGCATTCCACGGGGTATAAATTACAAATAAGACAGGCGAGATAGCTCGCTAATTAACCTGCTCGCAAATGAAAGGCTGCCCGCTGGTTCACCCTTCTCCGCACAACCGTCTCTCTCGCCGGGTGCATCCAACGAAGATCAAGAGCGCGAGGACTTCCGTCCCGTTCTCCTCCGACGCGTACTCGCGTCCCTCCGTGTCCGCGCGAGATGGCCGCGTTGCAACAGTCAAGGACGGTAGAACCCGAAGGATAAGCCGAGGGATAAGCGAGAGTCGCGACACGGACGAATCGCGAACGTTTCCCGCTTCGAGCTCTGTAATTTTAGCAGGGATAGGATTCGCTCGGTCACAATGGGATAATGCTCCGTAATTCCGCTCTCTTTCCTCGCGGAATATAATTTACCTTAATATCGTACGAGACGTTTCTCCGACTCCGTGCCTTCTGCGGGCGTCGCGGTCCGCGGAACAACCGCGGAAACGAAACAAACACGAGGAAACGATTAGAAAAAAATACTGGACACACCAGAGTGGACGGGTGTCATTTACGCGTCAAACGTTGCAACCTGATCGGCGCCGAGGGTAAAACGCGCGTTTCCGTTTCGAATCGTGCGTCGTTTCCTTTCCGTTCGGTATACCCGATACGCGGTCGCGGTTCGCGGCTCGGTTTCCCTGCAAAAACACCGGGACCGCGTAAAATCGATGGGTTCTGCTAATTATCCTCGCCGTGAGAACTTCGTGAACCTGATCCCTCAAACCTCGATGAACTCGCGCGTGAATACTTCCTATCTTCGACGGTTCTCATCGATACCCTCCGCGTTTACGGACCCATTCACCTGTCGGCTATTCGTGCCTTCCATTAACAAAAAGGTAGCATCGATCGAACTATCGTCCAAACGTTAATCGCGTTAATCGCGTCTCTGTCGTGTGTCTCGTACGTTTCGCGAAAAGTGATTTTCATCTTGGCAGATCGATTTCCGATCGAACGCGATTATCGAGGAACACGGAGGAATGGTTTTTGGAGTATACACCGTACACGTGTAGGATTTCCTGCGTTCTTCGTTCTTCTCCTCCTCTTTGTCTCTCTCTCTCTCCGCTCGTCTTACCATCCTTTCTCGTAAAGTGCACGCAACCCCTTCTTCTTCTTCTTCTCCTCGGACGTCGCCTTCTTGTTCGCGTTGGTACGTGTTCCATGGACCCAGTAGCGATTCGTCCACGGTCGCTCGTGCGGTAAATCAGGCCACGTTGACGTTTAATGCCGGCAAATTACACGCGAAATAAATGCTCACGAAGAACGAGGTACCGGTGTCTACTCTCCCGACGAAATCGCGCTTGCGAGCAGCGAAAAGAGAAGAAAGTCGAGCCGGAGATATTCGATCGCGCTTTGTCCAGCCTTCGTCTACACGTTCTCTTTCGAATCTTAACGGGCTACCATGTGTTTCTCAGGCGCTGATTTATCTGCACGAGAACAACGTGATACACCGTGACATTCGCGGCAGCAACATCGTGCTTACCAAAGAGGGAGAAGTGAAGATGGTCGATTTTGGGCTATCAAGAATGTGTCAAGGTGAACTGGGAAAGAGAGCTGTATCACGAGACCGTGGTACACGTACGCGGTATCATCGCGTGCGAGTGGCACGGTTAATTCGCATTTTCCGAGAGAAAACGCGACGACGAGGATCAATGATCGTTCCTATCGCGTGGTTGCAGCTCTGCGAGGGTGGGACAGCCATGGACCTCGTGCATGGCCTGCTGGCCATGAACAAGAAGCTGCGCGAGGAACACATCGGCTTCATCCTGAAGGAAGTGATCCAGGTAAATCTCGCGAAACGCAGGTGGACGAAGCGCTCGAAACATCGCGATCTCGCGGTACCTCTTGTGAGCAAAATCTTCCTTGCGTCGCTTTCGAGCGAGCATTCGACGAAACACGAAACGGGGAAGAAGGAACGGAGGAAGAAAGGGCGGACCGAGCTAGTTCGTGCCATATTGCCGATTCGGCGTCGTCGTCGCGACGGGGTAATTCGCGAGTCTGCGAGTAGGCGGAAAATCGGTGGCGCATGGGAAGGACGGCGAAAGACGCGCGTCAATGGGTCGCATTCCACGGGGTATAAATTACAAATAAGACAGGCGAGATAGCTCGCTAATTAACCTGCTCGCAAATGAAAGGCTGCCCGCTGGTTCACCCTTCTCCGCACAACCGTCTCTCTCGCCGGGTGCATCCAACGAAGATCAAGAGCGCGAGGACTTCCGTCCCGTTCTCCTCCGACGCGTACTCGCGTCCCTCCGTGTCCGCGCGAGATGGCCGCGTTGCAACAGTCAAGGACGGTAGAACCCGAAGGATAAGCCGAGGGATAAGCGAGAGTCGCGACACGGACGAATCGCGAACGTTTCCCGCTTCGAGCTCTGTAATTTTAGCAGGGATAGGATTCGCTCGGTCACAATGGGATAATGCTCCGTAATTCCGCTCTCTTTCCTCGCGGAATATAATTTACCTTAATATCGTACGAGACGTTTCTCCGACTCCGTGCCTTCTGCGGGCGTCGCGGTCCGCGGAACAACCGCGGAAACGAAACAAACACGAGGAAACGATTAGAAAAAAATACTGGACACACCAGAGTGGACGGGTGTCATTTACGCGTCAAACGTTGCAACCTGATCGGCGCCGAGGGTAAAACGCGCGTTTCCGTTTCGAATCGTGCGTCGTTTCCTTTCCGTTCGGTATACCCGATACGCGGTCGCGGTTCGCGGCTCGGTTTCCCTGCAAAAACACCGGGACCGCGTAAAATCGATGGGTTCTGCTAATTATCCTCGCCGTGAGAACTTCGTGAACCTGATCCCTCAAACCTCGATGAACTCGCGCGTGAATACTTCCTATCTTCGACGGTTCTCATCGATACCCTCCGCGTTTACGGACCCATTCACCTGTCGGCTATTCGTGCCTTCCATTAACAAAAAGGTAGCATCGATCGAACTATCGTCCAAACGTTAATCGCGTTAATCGCGTCTCTGTCGTGTGTCTCGTACGTTTCGCGAAAAGTGATTTTCATCTTGGCAGATCGATTTCCGATCGAACGCGATTATCGAGGAACACGGAGGAATGGTTTTTGGAGTATACACCGTACACGTGTAGGATTTCCTGCGTTCTTCGTTCTTCTCCTCCTCTTTGTCTCTCTCTCTCTCCGCTCGTCTTACCATCCTTTCTCGTAAAGTGCACGCAACCCCTTCTTCTTCTTCTTCTCCTCGGACGTCGCCTTCTTGTTCGCGTTGGTACGTGTTCCATGGACCCAGTAGCGATTCGTCCACGGTCGCTCGTGCGGTAAATCAGGCCACGTTGACGTTTAATGCCGGCAAATTACACGCGAAATAAATGCTCACGAAGAACGAGGTACCGGTGTCTACTCTCCCGACGAAATCGCGCTTGCGAGCAGCGAAAAGAGAAGAAAGTCGAGCCGGAGATATTCGATCGCGCTTTGTCCAGCCTTCGTCTACACGTTCTCTTTCGAATCTTAACGGGCTACCATGTGTTTCTCAGGCGCTGATTTATCTGCACGAGAACAACGTGATACACCGTGACATTCGCGGCAGCAACATCGTGCTTACCAAAGAGGGAGAAGTGAAGATGGTCGATTTTGGGCTATCAAGAATGTGTCAAGGTGAACTGGGAAAGAGATACACGTGCATAGGATCGCCCAGTTGGATGGCACCGGAAGTAGCCATGAGCAAGGGGACCAGTTCCAGCGACGGATACGGAAACAGAGCCGACGTCTGGGCGATCGGGATCACGGCGATCGAGCTGGCAGACGGGAAGCCCCCGTTTCAAGACATGCATCCCACCAGAGCCTTGTTCCAAATCGTTCGCAATCCTCCCCCCAATTTGTACAGGCCGTCCAACTGGTCGCAAAATTTCAACGACTTCATCGGCGAGTACGTTTCCCGCGCTAACGAGTACCTCTGTCACGCGTGTCTCGCGTACTTTCTCATCGATGATACCGTTCGATACGTTCCTACCTGGTTACAGATGTCTCGAGAAAAACCCAGACAACAGGCCGTTCATGGCGGAAATAGCAGAGCATCCCTTCCTAGCCGACTTGCCTCAGAACGATTACCTGGTAATGCTACGAAACGGTGCGAATTTTGCGAAAGAATTTTGCGATAACGCGAACGATGCTTGCAGCTAACTCAAGAGATCAAGGTACTGATGATGGACGCCTGTGCGAGGGGTAAACAGGAGAGGAAGGCGGAAGTAATTGTTCGTAAAGGTTTCTTGAAGGTAAAGTTCCGAGTAAGATCAAACGGATCCTCTGGAACCTATGTTCATGGAAGACCTGGCCGCGCTCGAGAACCTCACGGAGGACACGATTTTGGACGAACTGCACGAGAGATTGCGGCAAGGTTACTACCACAGTTTTATCGGCGATATCCTTTTGATCTTAAATCCAAACGAACAGCAGGACATTTACGGGTCGGATGTAAGAATCGTTCGCCGAACGAACCCGTCCAGCGAGATCCCGTTAAATTCAATTCTCTCGTTGATTCCAGTATCATACGAAGTATCAGTTCAAGTCGCGGTCGGATAACGCGCCTCACATATACTCCGTAGCTGATAGCGCGTATCAGGACGTGCTGCACAACGAGGAGGCTCAGCACGTTCTGTTCGCCGGCGAGAGTAACTCCGGGAAAACGACCAACATGATGTATCTCATCGAACACCTCATGTACCTGGGAAAAGTAAGCGATTATCAGCAAAGTGTAAACAGAGGAAGCCAGCATGCGACAGGTGTTTGTTCGTTTGATTTCAGAGCTTGCAAGACATTGGAGCAAGATTAATACGAGCTATCAAAGTGATTCACGCTTTCAGTAACGCTGCCACACCCCTAAATCCAAACTCGACCAGATGTGTGTTAGAAATACAGACCACGTACGGATCTTCCGGGAAAGCCTCCGGCGGCATATTTTGGTTATATCAGCTAGAAAAATGGCGCGTTTCTACCCGCGACAGGTTAAGATCGGGTCTGCTATTTACGCTAGCGCGCATTAGGTTGCTCTATTACCGGATTTCGTGCAGCTAGAACTAGCAATTTACTCTCGTGTATTAGATTTCGAGATTGCGTTGCAACTTTGCCCGTAGATCTAATCGTACGTTTATCGATTGGCCACGGTAGTCACGAGATAAATCTCCTCGACAGAAATCAATCGAATTTCCACGTGTTGTACTACTTCTACGACGGCCTCGACAGCACGAGCAAGTTGAAGCAGTATCATCTACCACCGGGAAGGAGGTTGCGTTACCTCAGGATAAGCGAGAAGGGAACGGAACGGAAGCGATCGTTCAAGGTTCGTAACGATCCACGCGGCAACGTGGTGAAGTTCGAGGAACTGAAGGAAAATCTGAAAATCTTGGAAATGGAGGAATATTACGAAACGATCTGGAAGATACTCGCTGCGATCTTGATTCTCGGGGAAATTCGATTCGTGGAAGGGAACAATGGAGAAGCTGACATGGATAACAATGACGCGGCGACCAAAGGTATTAGCATCGGCGTAGAATATTTCTATCTCGACCACGGTGATGGATAATTCGACTATTTTTCCATGTTCCAGTCGCACAGCTCCTCGAGCTGGACGAGAAGAAATTTATCTGGGCGTTGCTGAATTACTGCTTGATCGTGAAGGGAAGCGTCATACGCAGGAAACACAGCTGCGACGAAGCGAAAGACGCGAGGGACGTATTAGCCAACACGATCTATCAGCGATTAACCGATTGGATAATAAACACTATCAACCATAAATTTACGGTCACGCGGTCTTTATTGTGAGTTTCGAAACGAGGCTGACTAACCATTCGGAATTATCTAAAACGCCTGTGCCTTTTAGCGGTGACAAATATGCGATTAACGTAATGGACCTCTTCGGATTCGAGTGTTTCTCGGTAAATCGGCTGGAGCAGTTAATAGTGAACACGATGAACGAACAGATGCAGTGCTATTACAATCAAAGGGTGTTCGCTTGGGAAATGGTAAGGTCTGGCGAAACTAGCCTATTCGTAAGCGGATAACGTTCCAATCTCTTATGATCTTGGCCCGTAGCAAGAGCAAGAGGAAGAGGAAATACCCATGCAGCGTTTGCACTTTTACGACAACAAAGATGCGATAGACAGGCTACTGAGCAAAGACAGAGGCTTATTCACCACGATCGACGAGGCGTCGAAGAACACGCTCGATTACCAATACGTGATAAACAAGATCCGGCAACGATCGGATAGTATTTACATAAAAGCAGTGAGTTCTCACGAATTTACCGTCGCTCATTATACAGGAAAGTTGCTTTACGACGCTAGCGAGATTGCCGAGAAGAATCGAGACTTTGTCCCGCCGGAAATGATCGAAACGCTCAGGCTGTCGACCATCGAGACCGTGAAAGAGTTGTTCACGAACAAGCTGACGAAGGCCGGAAGCTTGACCGTGGTCGTTGAATGTCCGAAAGTTGCGGAGACCACGACCACCAAAGGCAAATGGGGCGCGCTGATGCAGGAGACGTCGAAACCGAGGGTGAGATTGCTTAATAACATTTCAATTTTTATCGTTAGGCAAGAAAAATCGCGAAACGAGGTAGACAGTGATCTGACGAGATGGATAGATCGAAATGCGGAAACCGTGATTATTTGCCGATTATTTTGCAAACAGAGGTATAACACCGCATCCAGGGGACAATTCTCCCAGTCACGGAAAATGAGAACCTGCGCGTCCACCTTTAAATCCGTCAGCCTGGAAATCCTTAAGAACCTTTCGATAGGCGGTGGAAGTGGTGGCATTCATTTCGTCAGGTGTATAAGATCCGATCTCGAAGGTGCGCCTCGCGGTTTTTATCGGGACGTTGTCAGGCAACAGATCAGAGCGCTGGCTGTTCTTGACACTGCCAAAGCCAGGCAACGCGGCTACCCGCACAGGATACCTTTCCCAGAGTTTCTTCGAAGGTAGATTACTGCTCGGATACCCTTGAAATTATCTTGTCCGTCGATGCGAGAGTATTCTTAACCCTTAGGTATCAATTCCTGGCGTTCGATTTCGACGAGAACGTCGAGATAACCAAGGACAATTGCCGGCTGCTACTGATCAGGCTAAAGATGGAGGGCTGGATAATCGGGAAGACGAAAGTGTTTCTAAAGTATTACAACGAGGAATACCTCTCGCGCTTGTACGAGACACAGGTGAAAAAGATCGTAAAGGTGCAATGTATGATGAGAGCGTTCTTAGCGAAGAAAAGCATGGCGTCGAAGATCACGAATATAAGGAAAGATCTTGGTAGGTAGACTGATCGTCGAGAGAAGGAAAATTGGGTGCGAGCCGATTCCCCGATTCGCCGCGTCTTTCGCTTTTTGAGAGGCTCGTACTTTTTCCATTCGTGACGAGAAATTTAACGGGAATTGTTTCAGTGAAGAAAGCGTCCCTAAAGAGGAAGGAGACGGTGGAGCTATCGGAAGACCAGGCAGCGATAATGATTCAGAAAGGTAGGAAGAGGATGGATGGTGGTGGCGAAGGGAGAATGAGATTTGCTTTTTGACGAGCCTGATAGTCGCTATTGTCTCATGTCCGATTATTCGTTCGCGATGCTTTCACGATTTTCACTCGTTTAATCGAACCGATGTGTTTACATGGAAAACAGCGTACAGGGGTCACGTGGTGAGGAAGGAGACGGCGCCTCTTCTTGGGAAGGAGAAGATGGGTCCGGAGACGATAGACATGATGAAATTCTACAGCAGCAAATGGAGGTCGAAGAGCATGTTCCAAGTCCTCCTACGGTACCGTGCAGCCCGCTATCAAGACCTCGTGCATTTTTCGCAACAAGTGAGTAGTGGTGGTCGCGTGAGAAAGGATTGGCTTTCGCTGCGGAGAGAAATTTCACTGGATATTTTTCTGCAACAGGTGCATCTATTCAATCAGGCGATGATAGCATCTCTCACAGCGACGAATGATCAAATATCTATAGATAAAGTAGATTCGAACATCTCGTCATCCGCATACTTAGGCCAGTTGAAACCACCCCAAGTGCACAAGTTACCTTTCAATTTTTATCATGACTTTCCTTTTCCCGTCATGGCAATGGAACTGAAAGGTTTTAGGTGAGTGGATTTCACGTTGGCCCGATGTCAGTGTCTTTTCCTTTTTCGCATTAGCCGTAGTTAGTATAAGGAATCCCACCAATGGTGCCAAATCGATAGCAAAGCTTAGACAAGAAAAATTGTTCTAATAAAATTAGTGTCGACCCTCGTCACTAGACGTCGTTCGCCATTAATCGTATCGTATGTAGTTGTCGCATAGTTTTCTGTGCCTTGGTCGCGCTTTGTTGCGTAACTTGTCCGTAAGAAAGACACACTAGGACAAAAATACAACGATACCTGCGTTCATATTTTTATTCATGTCTCTTGCTTCTTTCTTTTCTACGTGTACCGTGTTGCAATTTTTGTATGCGCTCTGTTTTGTCATTATTTTTCATTCTCCGTTGTGTGCCGTCTCTACCTCGAAGTAAGAGTCGCTTAAGAACTCTTCGGAGACTTATGGCGTCAACTGAGAAATACGTTCTCGCAGATCCGCGTCATCGGCGTCTGACGACGAGCACGAAGCCTGGGACGCGCCATTACGGAGAAAAACAGAGCCGTGGGCCAACAGGAACAGTCGTACCAGAGGTGCCTATTACATTTTGTTTCGTCCAATCGGAAGTGCATCGACACGCTTTTACCCACGCGAGAACGGAATCCCATTTTTTAATACCTCTTTCGCGCATCTCAAATATCGCTCTCCTTTCTATTTGCCCGATTCCAGTTCGTCGACTACGCATACAGAGTGTGCACGGAAATCGAGTCTCCCAAATGAAAATCAACGATCACACCTCCCGTGACACTCTGTGTACGTAATTCGACCGACTCGACGCGGTTTCATCGAACTCGTCTCGTAAGATTATTTCGCTCAAGTAATGCGAAAATAATACGAAAATAACACGAGAGAAAAAAGAAAAATATAAAATCTCGATTGCCTGAGCCGAGTGGCGACTCTTTTCCTCGAAGAGAACTCACTCCCACATCGGATTGCTCTGCATTTTTCAGACGTCGAGGTTCAAACAACGAACTCGCCACATCGAGTGGCGCAGTCGACCGAGGGGCAGAGTCTGATCGACACTCCGTTTTCCAGAGACCCGAATATCTCGGTCCGATGTCCTCCAGACGAGTCGTCCCAAAGCAGAATGGATAACTTTGGCTCGCAACGTCCATCGAGCAGCCATAGTCCCGTACCACCTGCTAACGCTCATAATCCTCGCTCAGTAAGTCTCACTAAACCACTCGTCGATCACTCGATCCACTGTCTTTTCTCTCTTACTTCTCCTATATTCGCGGCAATATCTCGTGGCCATCTCGCTTTCCAGAATTACGATAGTACCGGATCGATACGCTCTAGAAAACACGCACCGCCTCCACCTCTTCCGTTTAATCAATCGCTACCACCCCCGACGCGCAGCTCCGACAATTATAGCTCAGATTTTCGAAGTAAAAGCACCATAGACATTTCCAGCCACGAATGGGAACACGAGGATAAAACTAACAGGAGTAGCGGCAATAATAATCGGTGCGAACACGCCACGTTAAGCTGAATTTTCGTTAGCAAACCAGTCTCGATGATGTTACTCCCGCTTGTCTTTCTGTCTTCGTTTCAGTATCAATCCGATTCAGGAATTGCAGATGATAGGTCGTAAGAGCAACTACGACAGCAACGAAGACACCGACGAGCCACCGTTTAATTTCCAGGTAAGACAAAACGAAGAGGTGCGTGTATAGACGCGTAAGAAAGTAACGAGACTAATTATCCGCTTGATCAGGCGATGTTGAGGAAAACGAGTCATCACAGAGCATCCATGAAGCGAACCCCGGTCTACGATAGCTATTCCTATTCTCCGTCGCCACTGCCAGGTACAGGATACCGCGGGAATCGCGAGAACGAGTCGAACGTTGTCTACAAAAGCGGAGGTAGTCGCAGAGACTCTCCCGAGTGGAGTCCCAACGAGATGGTGAGAATGTCTGAGAAATACGCGAAAGAGGCAGCCTGGGGAGAAGATCGAACGGGCAACGCGGGCCAAAGCAACGCTGCCTCCGAGAGCGTGACCGCGGAAATTGCACCGGGAATCGTTATCGAAGGTTACGTGGCCGAATTGTAAAATTCGTGTCCGCGACGGAAACTCCTTATGTATCGAACCAGCGTAAAAACTGGACCAGTTGGAATTGCTAATATCGCGAGAAAAAAAAAAAAAAAAGAGAAGCCTGCAAGGTACCTGTAGCTGTCCCGACGGAAACAAATGCACGACTCGTATGATTTGAAAGATCGATACCTAATTTACCATTATTGCTGACTCGGAGAGAAATCTTTTTATCCACAAATATGTAAATACGTATTTTTGGTATTTTTTTAATGCTTTTCTTTCTTCTCCCTTTTTGAATAGAAGCTGTCGAGGCGTTTCGCCGGTGAACTTCTTTTGTAACTTTCATTCGCTCCTCGAGCGACCGTGATGTCGGAATTTTTGTCCAATGTACAATAATTTTCATCGAACGATTCGTTTTCCCGCGTGCCTGTCTTCTCCAACAGTTAGCAATGCTCCTTGCCGATGTACAATACTTGTTCATTATTTTTAATTTCGCCACACACAAACACACTTTCACTTTAACGATACAAACGATAACAGCAATCGCGAGAAAACGCTTCTTTTTCTTTTACCAAAGGGGAAAAATTACAATACACGAAATTGTCGAAGAATTCACACGATGCAAAAGGAACTTAAGGGGTTGTGTTTCAGTTCACCTTCATACCCTTTCATCAGTCGCAACGATGCTCACTAACGAAACAATCGAATTGTTGTCAAAAATTCCACCCTGCACGATCGGTTTTACAATATTACATAGCACGAATCTCCCCCTCACTTTTACGTAGTACATAGTATTTATAAAATTTCAACCGACTGATGCACGATTGTCAAGATCATTTTAAAGAATAAAGAGTCAAAGAAGAACGGGGTGACTTGATTTTTTAAACCACGTTCCTATTCTTCGCAACGAACGCGACCATAAATTTGCAAAGAAACGGAAAAGATACTTTGTCATAAGTTAAACGTTTATTTATATCTTTTTCTTCATAAAAATTTAGTTAATACAACAATAAAAATACTTTACGCTATACAGCGTGATACTGGCCATCGATAATCACTATAGAAGCTATATTTACAACAAGAATATATATATATATATATAAAATACAAGAGAAAGAAAACAACTGTCGCCAATAAGACGATTAGACATACTGTATTAACCCTTTGCACTCGAGAGGTGACCCTCAGTCATCATTTCATAAAATTTGGAAGACAGATATTAATTAACCCCTTGGCTACCGTGGGCGCATATACGCGCTCAGAAATTTTGCTTTTGTGACACGGAAGGCGCATGTAAGCGCTCTTAATATTTTATCCATAATTAAATAAACACGTTAAATTTTTAATTTTTATAGTAGCTATTCGGTCCATAATACAAAGAAATAAATAATATTGTCGGTTTTTAGTGAAATACAATTTTTTGATCATTGAAATACGTTTTCACAAAAACGCATCTCTATCCAAAATTTTGCCGTTCTCGAAGGACATTGTAAATGAATTCCTACCCGTGTGATACGACCGGTGCGTTTCAAAGTCTGCCGTAGCCAAAGGGTTAATATATGAAATTTAATGCAATGTAACAGTGTGCGAAGTATCAAAGTCAAATAATTCTACAATTCTATCATTACACAATTCTTTATTTACTGCTCAAAAATGTATCGTCAACTTTTTAATAGAGAATCTTTGAATTTCTACTCTTCTCTAGCCGAAAAATCGTCGAGTGTAAAGGGTTAAAAAAATATTGTTCGCGTATCCTCCGCAATCGAGTATAACTTAACAAATATAAATATATATATCTAACTCTTTGTTCTATCGGGTTCCGTGTGAAGAAGAAAATTCGTCAACTATCCGTAACAAATGTCCGATAACGTATGCACAAGTACACGCACGATACCCTGACATGCAAACAAATTGGAGCAGGTTCGATAAGCCATGATCCATCGACGATTCAATCTTTGTCCGACTGAGAGTTATCTTGATTGCTGTTCTGTTGGGAATTTTGTTTAATTATGTTAACTAAAGTGTCCAACCTGGTGGGTCGCGCAATTTGTAAGACCATGTGCGCCTCCTCCAAGATTAGAAGACCATTGTGCGCGTCGCTGGCTGATAAATTGTGCGCTAATATTACGTGGCGTCTCCAAGCCGCATGCGTCGGAAGAACCTGAAAAAACATTGCCGTTCACTTTACACCTTATCAGATGCTACAACTGTTATCTGCATACCTGTAAGCACCACTTGCAGTTGAGAGACGGCGAAATGGTGTGGACGGCTTTGATGTGCCTCCGTCGAAAGCCCCAACTCGTGTAGGCCCTATCGCAGAACGGGCAAGGGTACGGTGGATACGCCGTGGCACCTTTCACGGCCTCTTCCGGGAATTCGGAATTGCTAGTGGTCCCGGGACATGTCGGGAACACCGAGCGCAGAACTCTCGCGTCCCTTTCCATGAGAATGTTCGTGGATTAGGTCATCAATTCCGAACACGAATGATTCGGCGAGTGAAATTCGTCGCTGTGCCGATAGGTATTCCAAGGTGGTGTTCGATCGAGGCCAATTGGAAGACCCGCGCGCGTTTCCGGCTCCGGCGAAGGAGTCGAGGTCTCTCGTGCATCGGCGATTACTGTTACGTTCGGCTTCGATGATCCTGCAAGTAATACCAGTCCGCGACTTCAAATTTTCTTCGTTCGATTCGAGATATTTGCGTGTCTTCGTCAATCAACGGAGCTAATCGGAAGGAATGCGAAGAAGGAGTAGTCTTGTTGGTTCTTTCTGGGATCTTTCCTCTCTCTCTCTCTCTCTCTTTCTTTTTGGGAAAATGGATCAGATTCGTATGATTCAAGAGTGCGTCGATGCGTTCGTTCTCTTCTTACGATTAGTTCGTTTGCTCGCAGGCTTTTGTTGCAAATATTAAATCACACGGGAAGTTATCCAGGAAGATACACAGATAGACAAGAGAGTCTGATAGTTGGCTTGGCACACGCGTACGGGGAAAACGGATTCTTGGGAAATGACGAGACAATTAAAAATGTAAAATAGGTTTATTTGCAACCAGTCATTTCAGTGTACGTGTACTTGTGTGTATGCGTGTGTGTGTATATGAGTGAACGAGTACGTGTGTGTGTGTGTATATTTCGTCTACAATAGTATAGATTTAAATAACAGTCAACTCGAAGCGTTTCGTACCTTCGCGAGATCAAAACGAGAGAAACAGAAACGTAACGGATAAATGCGGAAACGAGATTTGTTCGGTTGGAAATAAAAGTTGGATAGAAAATAAAAAAGGTGATGTGCCGTCGATAGCTGCGAATGGTTCGCGTGAGGTCTCGTCACGGCATACTGAACGCCTTAAATATCGTAGAAGCATATCTTATATTACTACCCTCATCGTAAAAGCTCCGACGTGTTCGTCTTCCTCCTCCTCTAAAGTCGTCGATAACGCGGAACGCGATTATGCTCGCACGCGTGTATAGTACGTATACAGGCAAAGGTACACAGGTAAACGTACATCTGTGTACCCATCTACGCGTGTACGGTAATGCGTGTGTGATCGTACCCGTGCGTTCGAGTGTAAGAAATTTCGCGGGTCCTTATGACACATTGCGCTTAATATTAATACGTGTTATGTAGATCGTCTACGGCGAGAGTGCGTGTCTGCATAAATATCGTAAACGAATAATTGGAAGGAATGTTGCGTTGCATAAGGTACGAGATACAAGGTACAAAGAGAAAAAAAAAAGATCAAAAGAATGAAATAATGGAGCGAGCGACTTTTCCAGCCGTGAAAAACGAGTCTTCGGAGCACGTGATGCGTGATCGTTATCGAAACGAAAGACAATGGTAAACGATTGATCTCGAATAATCAAATGCTCGAATTAATTAAAAATTACTCGATCATTTGCCTCGTGAAAGCAAATGTGAAGCGTATAAATAGTTGGACCATGCCTAGAATGCTTTTCGTTCCTCTACTCTCTCTCTCTCTCTCTCTCTCCCACTCTCTCTCCCTCTCATTTAAAAACGTTCCGTCGTTTTCTCTTAATTTGCTTGCTTCCACCTATTCGCATCCCTCTTTCGAAAAGATAGGATACGGAGAAGATTGGAGGCGATCTAAGACGGCCCTAGATGATCTAGGACAATCGAGATGACGAATCAGCGAGAGAAATCCTTCATTCCAGCCAGTGAAAACGTTTCCATTTTACCCCTGTCTTGAAACGCCCTAGTCATTGACTATAAACCGACCGCCTTTGGAATAGATACCTCTTCAAACCCCTATTACTAGTATCGATTTTAGTTACGCAATTTTTCCACGTTTCCTCCCATTCCACGCTATTTGGTGCAATACCACTAAAGTGCAACAGAACTTCTCTTATCAAATGTATTTTGTTACTATCGAACTGCTGCTTTCCCATCTTGCCGTTTACGTTACAGAGAATCCTCTCCTCCGGGGTAAAAAGGATCTTCATAAGGTCACAGGCCAAATGATCCATCGGTCGAGAGGATGCCCACGTTGAGATTATCTCCGGACTCGGCAGAAGATCGGCGTAAGGTAGTTGCTGATACGCGTATAGTAGTGGCTTCACATCCGAGAATCCAGTTAGGCCGGATAACCCAGATAAACCGGAAATGTCTTCAGCAGGGCTGTTCCCAGACCCTGCCACACACATCAGAGCACAGCCTGCTTTAGACACGGATCCCCCTCACGCGTGTATTGCAGCGTACCGAACAATCAAGCAAATTCGACGAAGTTCTTTAATGCCGTGTTAAACGATCGATCGCGTATCATTCCATTTTATCTTCTTCGTCACGCATGCACAGATATTTTTACGCGTACACGTAGAGCAAAGTCTAGAACACGTTACCGAGTACTAGAAGCCAGGACTTTTCGTATTAAATAACGAGAATAAGATAATTTCTTCCTCCTCTCTTTCATTTAATCACCTGTCCAACTTGATAACTCGAAATTATCTACGCCTTGACCTCTAGTTTCTCCGATCGTACTTTTTTTTTTTATTTACGCACACATTTACTGTCTACACACGGTTCCAATTCCACTATAAGTTCGCTTGTAACATCGAACGAAATAAAAAGAAATGAAAGAAATACGTGCCACACCAATGTGGATAAAGCAGAATTGATGATCAAAGCTAACTCAACGATTTGAAAAAGCGCCGAAAACGAGTATGCACCTAACTTGAATGAAATTTCTGCACATACACAGTTAATACGGAATTTTGTATCGATCAAATTGTAAATTCAATCGTACACCCTAACATTCATTATGCTGTTCTGATCATAATAAATAGATTCATGTTAATTTTAATTGATATATGCATGTGTGTATATATATACATATATAAATATATATATACATTCAGTGAAATATGGAATCAAGAATTATTATGCCTTTTTTCCTCTAACTTATCAAATTTTTAAATATAGCACATAATTTATCATGAGATATAAGATATAATGCGATACTAAAACATATATACATAAGTACAACAGTCAAAATATACGCAAATTACGCAAAATAAATATAACATATTTTTCAGATAACATGCAAATAATTATATTCTCTATTATTGTACATAAAGCAGTATTGTAATATTCCATACAGTACTAACCTTGATTTCCTTCGACCTGCCCTGTGTCCAACCTTTCTGCAGGATCTTTGTCCGATGCAGATTGCTTTTGAGAATCTTCTAACGCAGTTTCTATTGGCTCTATCTGAAATACAATTTACTAATCTTTATTTCATATATTCGAATAATTGCTATCATATAGAAAGCTCTAGACATTATTGGTATAATGTACAACTAACCTTCATTTCTAAACGGTGATAGATTGGATTTTGCAAATGTTTCTGCAATAGATAATCTCCTTCTTTACTACCTTGTTCGCTAGTTGTGGAATCATCTGTGCTTTCTGCTTGCGATACTTTAGGTGTCAGTGCTGTTTCTAATATAGAATTTTGATGTTTATTCAATTTTTGTTTCTTTTTGGGAGTTTCTTCCTTGGCAGTTGCTGCTGCTTCTTCCACTGCTTGCTCCAATTCGACTAATCTCTTGTAAGATTCCTTAGCAAATATATCTCCACCCGAAAGACCACGAATTTGCAAAGTCTCTGCGGCTTTTAAAAGTGCCGGCAAATTCTTTTGTTCGATATTTACTTCTCCTTTATATATAAATATAAGTAAGGCTTCTAGTTCGCTGAAGTGCACATCTTGGAGTATTATAACTGGATGTTGACAGGGGTTTGTCTATAATGTCAGAAAAATTTTTTAAAAATACTTGCTTATTAACCTATAATACAAATACTATGTAAAAATTATATAGCAAATAATCAATATAAATATAATACACATAACTCAAATCTAGGCTAACCTCAAATATTGTACAATTATCGTTTAAATGATTTTTTCACGAAATCTTATCGATTAAAGATACTAACAAAGTATCTTACCGAATGATAAGACAGCTGTCAAAATGTCAACAGCATCGCAAATACGAAACAAACATGTAGAAAACCAACCTGAAAAACTTTTTTGAAAAAAGGACTGCTTGCTGAAAGAATCACTTTGTGAGCTGTAAGACACTGTCCATCACTTGCCAATGTCACGTCTACTAAACCTTCCTCTTCCCACAAGCTTTCGAAACTCGTTGCGATGTTGTTTAAAAAACTGTTCCATTTTAGACATATTTGATTTGACATTTCGCAGACAGAAAGTATCGAAGCTATGAAAATGTTATCACCGCGTCGCGAACCGTTCGATACCTTTGCCCGTCAACGACGATTACAATTCAACGATAGGAACAACGTTGACGCCAATAATAAGAATAACAACGACGACGTTGACGACGACAACGACCGCGAAGTAACAGCAGTGGTGCCAGGCACGCACAAACATCCTTGGTGCTGGGTTGGGAGTACATAGTCAATATGGCCGCCATGCTTTATTGGATTGCGCGCGACCTTAGAAACTTTCGTCGACAGGCTGTACGCTATATTTTTATTACTCGTTTGTGTTGGAATACTAAAGACACAAATCGAGACATCTTACAGAAAGACATGAAACCTCGATGTTAAAATGTTTTTTCGATCACGTACTGATGCATGGTTGTGTGTGTGTGTGTGTCCGAATTCTTTTATTCGAGCGTCTTACTCTCCGTAGAATCGTTGAACTGTAAACACCGATCGAGTTATTATCTATTATTAAAATGTATCGTTTTATAATAAGTGTTCTCTTTAATTCCACTACGATCCCAAATTCTATCAATTTGTATAGAAAATACTTAAACCGATAAAGATAAGGAGATTGAATAAAAAGATTATTTCTCTGAAATACCTCGTACGAAAGAAAATAATTATTTACAAATAAGGAAATTTATCGAAATTTCACCTGAAACCTGACACATCGAATAATTTAAAAAATAATACATAGGTACAGTTAATTATATTAGAGCAGCAACGAAGAGTGCGTGCTTATATTATTACGTGCATACACTCGAGCGTACAGGTGTACACACGACTATGAATTCCCGCGTTCGTGCACACACGTATTCACTCATGCATCCTAGTGTATGTGCACCCGTGCGTGCGTACATTCTCGCGTGCCTACATGCTTGCGTGAGTTCGTATCCTATAACAGTATTCCGTAATTGTTAAAGTTCTACCTTTACGTTCCTAACGCAAACATAGTAAACTCGTTGCATCGAGTAACTGCTTAAAAAATAATTCGTAAAACTCCAATATTCTTTACAGCCTTTAAGTCCATAAGCGAATTTGTAACGACGCAGCCATACTTAAATTAATACGTAACATTTTTACCTTGTACTCATACCGAACGAAACGGATCCAATTTTCTTTGTAAAAATCGAATCCTTCTACACTGTAGAAGGTCGTCAGTCGTGGAATTGTCAGGTATCTGGAAATGTAGAATACAAGTGACAATTGCTCGGAACGATTTCACGAAATCAACCTTCTCTGGAATATTTCATGTTTCGAAGGTACGAGCCTTTTGTCACGCCGAGTAATACCATTGTTCAAAGATCAAGAACTTTTGAGGAAACAATTAACAGGAATTGTTCAAAACAAGCTCATTACTCTTGATCCACGATTCTGAACTTTCAAAGGACTAGAAGCGATTTAGGTATGGGCTAGTTCCCCTTTATTCTAGGCTCTTGCATTCTTCGGTCTCGCTTAACGGATCGTTGATGCACTATTGAAGAATATTACGAATGATAAATGACGTTTAACAAGAGAACAGCATCTCGGTTAATATATTCTTGCAGATAAGTAACTCTTACGTTAGGTCAAGTAAAAATCGATGAAATTCGATACATTCGATAAACGCAAAGTTACATATATCGCTCGTCAAAGTAGATACCATGATTGCAAATTATTGCAACACGATGGCTTCATAGGATGACTTGAAAAATTCATGAAATTTCTCTAATCTGTGTAGTTGTTTTAAAATGTAGATAGAACTTGGTCTGATTAACGTGTCTAATAATAAACGGCAAGGTATCGAGGGGAGTGAATTGACCTGAAAGCGAAGGAGTACGAAACGTTACGGTGGAAAGTTCGGAAGGGATAATCACCCCCGGATCTTTTGGACTTTCATATAAATTTTCTCCTGTCTCGTTGATTATTCGACCAATCAGGGATCAGGGTCCCGGGGTCTCCTTTCCTTACAAATAATACCACGCTGGTTTTCCACTTCGTTTCCAATCGCTCAGGTGTAGCAATCAGTAGTGGTCTGTCATGCACTGGTTGCGAATTTGAATTGATACTTTTTCCGCTGATAGTGACGTAGTGATAACAAGAAGAGTGCCAGCAATCATGCCTAAAGAAAATAAAAGCACGAGCAAAAAGAGCAGACGTCAACACTCCGATATCGATAACGTAAGTACTTTAGCTTCAAAAAAAAGTGAGAGAACAGAGAGGCGATTAAGCGAAGTTAGAGAACGCGTATTTAATACCAAAAGTGATCTCGCGTTTAGTATTTTCCTTTGCAGTATTATTTTCCCGATGAGTCAAGTAGAAGTTATTCCGTTAATTAAAACATTTATCATTCGAAACAATACTATAGCAGAGTCTGGTGTACGGTGACGTCACCCTGTAGATAAACCAACACTAATTATGATTTAAATTATCTGAATTTTAATAATATTTACGTAACGATAAATTCCTTTGGTGCTTGAAGAAATATTCATTTTTGACAAGATTATCTTGCACAAAGTTCGAGCGAAATTCACGAATTGTATTTCATCACACAACAGTCTCTTAATATCTATTAAACGGTTTAATGATCAACATTTTCTAGTTGAAATACGTCAGTGCTTCGATACTCAACGAGTGCTCCTACGTACACGCATTTGTGTAAATACACGTATTTGGAGTAGGATAGCATTTGCACTGCTATTCGCGCACTTAACGAGTAGAAGAAATCCTAGTAAACTGAACGAGTTATTACATTTTTATTAATTCCACAGGAAAATATATCGAGTGTACGAGAGCCGTTGAAACCTACCGTCGCAGGCAATCGTTACAGTCCATTTCCTCGTGAAGCACCAGCAAGAGACTCAAGAAAAGCGAAAGAAAACATGAGCATGCCAACGATCGAAGCATTGCATTCACTGAGAGGCGGTATCATAGAAAATGGTATCAAATACATCATGTTCCCGTTGCACCTTTTGCGCTTCTGTATATTCGGAACAAGCTTTTCGGGATCCGCGGATTCCAAAGAACACGCAGAGGCAAACGATAAAAAGGAGAAACGAAGAAGCGAAGAAAAAGACGAGGAAAAGAAGATGAGGAGGGAAGAGAAAAAGGAAGACACGAAGATAGGAAGTTCGAGTGACAAGTCTTCGACGAAACCTGAAAGTTTTAGGTCTACTTCCCCTTCTAGAAATGGAAACAAGGATCCGTCATCTCGCAACAAGAATTGCAGAGAAAAGAGGGACAATGACAGATCCAACGACGAAATGGTGACCGCCGAAGAAGATTCTGACTCTTCCAACGAACAATGGAGCAACGCGAATAGTACGATGGCAATGAACATGTCATTGGAGTACGATAACATGGACAGATTTATATCGTACTCGATCTTGGAGGAACCCATGGATATATCAATTGACGAGCATAGTTTTAGCAAGAACCCCATGACGAATATATCCCAACACAACAAATCAGGGATACAAAACAATGCCATTCGAAGCAAATCTTCGAAGTCATACACTGACGCGAAAGACAGCAATTCCGCTGTAGACGAAGAAATTGCACGGATCTTTCAGAAACAGTGCACTTCTTCCGAGGACGAATTTTCGTCCTCTTCGTTTCCCAAGTCTTTCGCATCATGCAAATACGAGAAGCCGAAGGAGAATAATTTCCTCTATAAGAAAGTGAACAATAACTACTCCCCGGTTGCATCTCGGTCAAGGAAAGGATCGAAGCACGATACCGAGCGAAAGAAGAAAACGTCGACCGAATTTGTTGCCAATAATAAAAGAAGGAAAGTTATACTCGATGAAGACGGAAACGAGAAGGACATTGAACATAGGAGCGAAAAGAAAACGCCGGAAGGGAAACGCAATTCTAGACTAGATATTCCAACTAAATATAAATCCCGTTCGCCGAGGACACCAGTAAAAGATAAAGGATCGAAGCGGAAAAATATAAAATATAAAGAAACGGCTACGCAAACGGACAGTGCTTTTTCGACGGATGACGATGTCGAAATGGTCCCAGTCGATACGAAGCCGTCAGATCGACAAGTTTACTCGAAATATGTAAATCGCAAGTACCGGATCAATCTCTTTCAGGTATGCTTACAATTTTCTTATTTAATTCATTATCAGACCAAGTGTATCGGCTAATTAATTAATTAATCGACTGTTTTAACTTACCATTCGCTTTTCTGTTTAAAGGGTAAAGAGTTGGAACAGGAATTAAATTATGTAGCGGATAACGAAGATTCGAATGACGGGTTTTCAAGGATCGCACATAAACGAGTTTCGTCGTGCAGTACGTCGTCCTCGTCTACGGATCTAGGTTTCGATGAACGGGCATCTGCAACCCCAGACATGGATATCACAACAGGACAACGGCACACGAACTCATCTAATAATATAAATACTTTACGAACATGCACTCGTGCTCCACCCGGTTTTCCACAACTACCACAGTATCCACCGTTAACGCCTTTCATTTATGATGTCGAAGATTTTATATTAGTACCGTCAAAAAATGACGATGGTACGAACTCGTCACTTATTAATACAGTGGCGGGTGTACCACCAGCGCCTTCACCTATGCGGCATCTTTATTATGATTATCCTGAATTTATGGATCTACCTATTTATGTTAATTCCTCTAAAATTTTGAATAACATTTTAAAGAACAACTATTACCGGTGATACTTTTGTTGCAAGATATTTATATTTGTACTACTCTGTATTTGTACAAAGATCAATATGCAATAAATAAAGATTTATTGTGAAAAATTTGTTAATTTAATTGAAAAATATTTATTAAAAATATATACAACGTCAAAAGCGACAACTTAAAAATCTAAAGAGTATTTTACACCATGCTTCACGGTGTAGGCATGAACGATAAATTCATCGGCGATAACTGACTTCCTGGTGTAACATCTGCTCTTTCTCCTTGTTCAATAACTGGGTCTGTTTCATTCATATCTTCTACCTGTAATTGACACGGTATTAAAAATATGTGGCAACTATTTGATTCTAAAATATGATAAATATTCTGTAATTACCACCATCGAATGTTCAAATTTTCCTCTTTTCTGAGCAATAGTTCTTAATAACGCCTTAGCTTCTTCCTTTGTTTCATCAAATTGCAAACACTTCTGAGCATAATGATTAGCATGATCCAATTGTTCGCGTTTTAAATGATACTGAGTTAAGTACTTGTACGCATGACTCAAATCAGCTCTGTCCGCATTCCTAAATTCGTCCATCACAAAGTCTGTATAAGCTGCTGCCGCATGATCATGCTCACCTAACTTTTCGTATAACCTGCAATATATCGAAACATATATACCTAAATATACATGTTACATTGGAAATAAGATCGAATCTAAATACATACGTGGCTAATTTTAATAATGCCATTCCTTCGATATCACCAACATTGCAAGCTTTGTAGTAACATTTTAACGCGTCTTGTATTTTATTTTGTTTTTCATATGCTTCTCCTAATGCCAGTACCATTCTACTATCATGTGGCCTCAACAGCTGAGCCTGTTTATAATAGTAAAGTGCATAGAATGGCATTTTTAAAATTTCATATGTTTGCCCCAAACCATACCATGCTCTGTAATCCCTCTTATTGACTTCTACATAAAAAAATTGCCAAATAGATAGATGCTCATATTTAATCATATATATACATGTAATATATACCAATAGCTTGTCTGTAACTATGAATAGCACCATTGGTATTTTTCATTTCCATGAATTCATGGCCAAGCAATGTCCAGGCAGAAAGATATTGCGGATTTAATTTTAATGCTCTATGGAAATACATTACTGCTTTTTGATGATCTCCTCTTAAACTATAATAATTTCCTAAAAATATGTTACTTTAACTCGATAGTAAAATAGTTAAGTCTTGTACCTTTTACCTCGCAATACAAAAACTTACCTACTATGCAACATGTTTCTAATCTGTATTTATCTATTTCCGTTGCTCTATGAGCTAAATATGCTAGCTCAACTTTCATTTCCTTCACATACAGGAGATTTGAGTATGTATCCATATTATCTAAACAATATGGATCTTCTTTTATTATCCTTTTAAATGTTTCTATAGCATTATCAACATCTAAAATGGAAATATTACAAGTTAATATACTCTAATGATTACAACACTCTTACTGATAATTTATTCGATAAATCAATTTACCTCTCCTATAATGTACTGCAATTGCAGTTTGAGCAAGTACGTAACCATTTTTCTCAAATCCCATTGATTGTAATTCGCAATATAATGCTAAACCTTCATCTATTAACTGCAACTCCAAATACATATGAGCCATAAAAAAATGTTTCATCCAATGATTAGGTAAACACAGATTTTCGAGTTTTTCTCTATCAGTAATTAAAGAAGCTAACTCTAACCAAGATCCCCAATGCATGGGTTGCTTATGCGTTGCTTCCACTAATACACTCATGGCTTCTCTGCTAAGTTGTAATTTTTTTAAAGTTACACCAAAAAGATAAAGACCAAAACCATCAAGTTTGTCTGCCAAATGATCTTTCCTCAAATCAGCACATAATAATCTTAAACTCTCGTTTTTTAAGGGATCTGGAGGCACTACTGTCATGTCATCTATTTTTTTCTTCTCGCCTGATAAATAGCGAGAATATAAATGTAAAAATCGAACCTTTGGTGTTTTGCATTGTTCCGTGAAATAAGCGGCCCTATCGTATTCTTTTAAATCAAAATAAGTCTTTGCTAAAATATACGTATCCTCTTCTTCGTTTGTATCGGATAAATACAAATCAGCGGTAATGTCATGAAGATTTAATTTGACATCTTTTAAGGAATAACTTAACTCTGCTAGCCTGTAAACAAAATAGCTTTTTTATTCTTCCTATAATAATGAAATAACGATCTTATTTGACTGTAGATTAAGAACTGTACACACCATTTTGTGGTATGCAATAAACCGCGTTGAGAACATTCGTTTATCGCGCGCAAAAGATCAGTTTTAACCTCTTTAATGTCAAACTTTATCGACTCTTCCATGTTGTATATATTCCATCAATATTTTATTTAACGTTATCCTGACAAAATGACCAAGTTGAACAGGAAAGCAGTATGCTCATTAGGTTTTTTTGCTCATATTATACAGTAAAAACAGCAATTTTTAATCCCTTATTCCAATCTTTACTTTAATCATAGACGAAATATTATAAAGAACAACAACGCAATACATTTTTTTGCCACATAATTTAAGAGTTTTATACTTCCGTTACCACTTCTACATCACTTTTAACATTATCGATTTAATATAGAGTAAGACTACAATATTGTTAGTATTATACATCTTTTCTTAAGGATGTAATAAAGAAGATTACATCTACTTTATCAGCTACAAATCGATACGTTTCTTAAATTCACTACTTTAAGTTATAGAATGTGATGTTCATCAAGATCAATATTTTAGTTCGTGTTATACAAAATTTGATAAGATTATCAACCTATTGTATATTTCATCCACGACTGATTATAATTTATTAATTTCCCGCTCTAAATTATAGAGGGCAGAAGAAATCCTTTGATTTTTTTTTTCAAGGTTGGTATTTCAGTTTGTGTATCGCAAAGTCCTAAACAGACACAATTATCCTATATCTTATCTGTGTTGCAGTGTACAGTTATCTACTTTTTAGTTTAAAAATATTTTTGATACTTCTACATATTACGATATATATGTTAAAATAATAATATAACAAGAAATAATTTATAACAATATAGTTACTACAATGACCTATTGTTTAATTTCGTGGGTAACGTAATAAATTATTTTTGCCACCATTTGTTTATGATAGTTTAAGTTTATATATAAAAATAGCTCTGATTAATGCGTATACAAAATCTTATTATCGATGAATATAAATATTTAGTTAACCTATTTATAGATAAAAGTATTGAATACGTATAAATATGCTATAGAAGTTTATATCCGTTATCTACAGTCGATAAATCAAGATTTTGGCGGAAATCCTATTTTTGGGCGGAAATATTTTAAATAAACGTAATGAATAAAAGGAAAATTAATACATATTTCGTAGGGCGCTAATTCTCACGGTCAACTTGGTCAAGGGATTCAGTCGGAAGAATGTGATTTACCTCGTGAAGTTGATTTATCAAAGTGTTCATTAGAACCGCAAAAAATAAAAAAGATAGTTGGCGGTGCTGGCCATACATTAATTTTGGATGATTACGGTCGCGTTTATTCCTGTGGTTGGAACAGTAAAGGGCAAGTGGGTTTTCCCATGAAGGAAAATATTCTTTTCTTTCAAGAGTTAAATGGAAAATTAAAAGACAAATATATCGTGGATATAGCATGTGGCTGGGATTGTTCTGCTGCATTAACAATAGAAGGCACTTTATTTCTATGGGGCTCGAATCATTTCGGACAATTGGGCAAACACCCAAACCACCTTCAATGGACACACGAACCCTTCGAGGTTATAATAGATCAAAAAATCAAAGGAATGTCTATCGGCTTAAGACACACTGTCCTAATAACAGAAGATCATAAAATTTTAGTAGCGGGAACAGGTAGCAAGGGACAGTTAGGTTTATGTTCCTCGAAGAACGATGAAACTTTAAATGTCGCATATACTTTTACAGAAGGTAAATGTGTCAAAAAAATATAAAGTGAAAAATAGAAAATAAAAATTGCTCATAACATTTCGAATAAAAATGATCGAATAATGGTTTTAAACAGTTTTGACGTTACCGAAAGTTATGGATGTCAGTTGTGGTCAACATCACACGGTCACGGTAACAGAAAACGGAGATTTTTATGTATTTGGTGATAATAAATACGGACAATTAGGATTGAATACAAATATATATCCGAAAACTTTTAGTCCAATAAAATCGGATGTTGAATTAAAATTCCCAATTAATATGTACAGTGGTTGGTCGCATGTGATTGTCTTAAAGGGTAATATATAGTAATAGTTATTCACGTAACATAAATTTCTGACACATGATTATTTTTACTAGATAGTCATGTTTTCGGTTGGGGTCGAAATACGTACGGACAATTAGGTATTACAGAAGCCGAGAAATCAGCAACTTGGAAGGCTACACAAATTAAAAATTTATCAAAAATACGTCAGGTTTCGGCTGGCTCGGAACACAATGTCGCTTTAACTGGTATAGACATAATAAATTTGCATAAAAAAGAAAAAAGACATATGGGGGAAGAAAAATTTCTTATGTAACATTTTAGAAGACGGAAAAATTTTATGTTGGGGTTGGAACGAACACGGAAACTGCGGAAATGGTAACAAAGAGAATGTTGAATTTCCGCAACAATTGCTGCTTTCGTACGATTGCAAAGGAATTCTTATTGGAACTGGTGCAGCCCATTCATTTGCAGTAATAAAAATACTTTGTAAGAAATAGTAAAATAAAAAAAATGTGAAAACAACTGTAAAAAAATATCTTTAATGATTTGTACATATTACCCGGAAAAAATATTTTTTTTAACACCCTTCATCTTTATATTCTAGTATTTCTAGAATATTTTTAATATCATATGACATGAATTATAATTTTATTCAAATGTAGAAGGTGAATAAAAGTCAGTTAGATCGAAGAGAGTATAGTTGAAAATCGACCTCACCTGGTCACAATGTTCACCACCTGCCAACAGTAAACTATCAGTAGGGTGTTCATACAGACGTAACAATAGAAGAGTGTCAGTTTCATACGAAGTTCGACCGTTTTAAATAAAAAAAAAAAGTTGCGAAACTATACACGATAAAATGTTACGTTCAAGGTCCCAGAACAGCATTTGGTATATATCTTCAATTTTTGATATTCGTAAAAGTTTAATTTTGCATTTATGCGACAAAACTATATTTACCGTTTTATTATCTGTGTTCATCAGGGAACAAGAAGCGAAGTTGGTACAAGATCGAATATCCAATGTGGAAAAATATTTTGCGGAATTATGCACGACATTTGCAGCATATACAAGAAAGGCAGCAAGGTTTGTATATAACTATTGCCACTAAGCTTGAAATATCGATTATTTTTTCTATTTCTTGATTTTTCTGTAAATGTATGTAATATACTTTCAGATTACGCGACAAAGGAGATGAAATAGCAAAAATTATTCAAACTTATGCTCAATCGGAAACTATAAATCGATCTTTATCTAATGGATTGATAAATTTTTCTGCAACTTTATCGGTAATAGGCGATTATAGGTGCGTATTTATTAATTAAATTAAGGGGACGGATAAATAAATTTGATCATTTAAATTATCGTAATTTTTATACGATATTATTAGAGATGCCAAAGTGCAGAGATTTGATGCAAAAATAATTTCTCCGCTTTCTCAATATGCGACGATTTGTAAACATGCTCGTGATGATGTAAAAAATACATTTACCGCACGAGATAAAGAATTGACAAGAAAAAGGCATCTAGACAGGCTCAGAGAACGAAATCCTAGAAACAGACAAATGATTGTATCCTTATTTCATAATTTAACGTAGTTAAGTGATTACATTTATGAAAAAACGAAGAAAAATGTAACTATTTTATATTCTTAAAAATTGATATAGTCTCAAGCTGAATCGGAATTAATGAAAGCATCCGTTGAAGTTTCAAGAGTTGTTAAAGGTTTAGAAGAGCAAATTGATGCATTTGAAAAACGGAAATTACATGATCTGAAAACTGTATTATTAGACTTTATTATTATTGAATTAAGTTTTCATGCAAAAACTCTTGAATTACTGACGAAAGGTTATCAAGATATTGCAGAAATCGACGAAGTTAAAGATTTAGAGGTAGATCATTTTTTATTTAAAAAATATTTATATTTTAATGTAAATAAATGTTGAATATTTGTGGTTCTTTCACATTCGTTGTATTAGATACATTGCAATTTCGAAAGTACCTTAAGTTGGTATAATTTTCATATTTTCTCGTAGGACTTTCAAATAATAAGAGGAAACATGAATGGGGTAAATTTTTTATTCGATTAATTATTTACACTTTGTATTAATTGATATTTTAAGTAGCAAAATATAGTTTTACCGTTTAAATTAATTAAATTAACGATTGATTTCAGGAATTTCGCAATGCAATGCATGTTCCCGATTCTGTTGCGAGATTGTCCACGGTTGGGCGAACTTCGTTTAAGCAGTCTTATTCTCTAACTAATTTGGCTAATCGTTTCATGCCTTCACCCGGGGTTTCCAAAAAATTAGTTACTCATGTAACTGAATCAACGGTAGATAAGTTATTATCGTATACATGTAATAATTATATGCACATGTTTGCATAATAATCATAATAAATATTTTTATAGGATTCCACAAAGTCTAGCTTAAAAACAAATTCTTCAGAATCTGTACAAATTGAGGAATTCAGAAACAGTTCAGAAGAAACAGAATCTGAATCTGCTAAAGAGAAACCTGTGAGAACCAGGCATAAGTCTATGTAATTTAAAATAATATGTTATTTTGAAAGCATTTTCTACAATTCTAGATTAAACTGCAGAGTAATTTTGGACGTAGAGGTTCAACACACAATAAATTTATATTTAAAACAGTACCACCAATTCCTATGTATCAGAAGTTTTTAACAATGCCTATGATAATTAAACATGACTGATTTAATAGGATTTATCTAGTACTAAAATGTATATTATATTTTTACTTAAAAATAAAAAGGAAATAAAACATGCATTGTATCATCAAAATTATAAAAAGGTCAGTTTATTTTTTTAACAACCAAAAGTGCATACCAATAACATATAAATATTGTTCTTATATAATAATATTCATTGATATCGAAAAAGATTTCTGTTTTTGTATTAAAGTCAATGTTGCAATAAATACAATCATTTTTCACCTCCTTCTACACCAGCTTGTGTCATTAAGTCTGTAATATTCTTCTCTAAATCATCTATTCTATTTCCCATTTCATCTAGTATTTTGTGTTAAGGATACTTGTCATTTTATTTGTAAAAACATTATAGAAAATATATAACTTCCTTAAATAAACTCATTTTTTCTACAAATATAATAATTTATATTTTCTTGTCAAGAAAATTATGCACATGACAAAATTTAATAACCTTTGTCGAGGTTATTTAAGGACATGTATTTTAAACAACCACTAAGAAAAGGATATTTTTTCCAAGAATTTGATCCGACATTGTTTGAAATTTTCCCTGCATATTTTGTAATAGTGTTTGCACCTAAAATATATAAAGAGAAATATAAGTGTAAATGGAAAATCATATACACGAAACATCAACACAGATTATAAAAATAATAATAATAAATTACACCTTACTCACATATTCCGTCAATTCTTGCATATTTTTTGGTTCGGCACTATTACCTATTCCATAATTATCAGTATCTTCGCCTTTATGCTCTTGTTTAATATCTGCCATTCCTAAATGATTTGTGTTTATTCAATCTTGCTACACTATGAAACGAACTTAGTTCTTTCGAATACTTCAGTCAAGCGCATGCGAAGATTTTGAATCACTTTTATTACGTACAATACAAGCCATTAAAACATCGATTTAACAAAGGCAAATAAAATATTATCTTTCGATCAAACTTTCACTGCAATTCCGACTGATTACTTTCTCTTGTACACACATTCTATTCAACTGAATAATTCTATTGGTGGACGTTACGAGAAGAGTTCTTCCTATTTGTTAATATCTTGAATCATATGTAAAGCATTTACTAGTGAGTAAATATAAACCCATATATCTGTTCACAAAATATAGTCAAATATAGTGTTTTCAAAATATTATAACATTTGTAGTGTTAAAAAATTGGGAGTAAAAAGATACATCAGTGATAAATATAAAATTGCTATTCATTTTATTGGTATATACAAGATAGTTACAAAAAATTAACTATTATTTCTGCTTAAAAATTTGTTATTAATTTGATAGGATTTTGTAATAAGTTTAGAAATTATTTAGACATTAAATGAGAAGATTATTTTTATTGAGGTTTAAACATAATATTGACATTTTCTGGTGCTGATACATTCAGAAGATCTATTGTTCCAAGCATTTGATAATTTGAGCTTACATACTTTTGGTTATTTTTTATTTCTTTAGTTGCTAAAAACTTGCAACATACAATATACCAAAAGCTTTGTACAATATTTTTCACCAATCCTATAAAATTTTCTGCATGAAAAATAATCATTAACAAGGTATAAATTATTTAAGTAAATTAATACTTACCACTTGTAACAAAGATACCTCCTACTGTGGCACATAATTTCACTAAAAATTGACAAACTGTATCACGTTGTTGAGTGACTTTTATTTTAAGTGCACTCATATCGTACTTAAAAAAAATTCCAGGATTTCCATGAGATCCTTTTTGATGATCAATTGGCCTTTGATGATCTTTCACGCTATATTGATAAGTTTTGGAAGTACTCAACAATGTTTGTATGTCTGTGGGAACTACTTCCACGAAATACTGATATAGAATCATATCTAAAATTTTTTTTTTTATGAATAAATTATAAATATTATAACGTTTGTATTTATATTTCATATGTTACACAAACTCACTGTTGTCTGCAATTTTTTCATCCCCTTCTAAAGGATGAACAACACCTGGACTAGGCCCACCAAATGAAAACTTATTTATTCTATGAGTAAAATTATAATCTTTGTGAGTCATAAAGGCTGAAATATGTATGTGCCCTTTAGGAATTGATAATGATTTTCCAGCCGTTATGTGGAAATTCCCAGCAACTTTGTTAACATTTAAACTACCATGAATGCGACATGCATTTGGTGCATAACTGGGTTGGTGAGTCCTAAAAAATATAGTGTGATATATATAATATGTACCAATCATACATTTAATAATACATTTTATATACCGTTTTGGCATTTCACTATGTAAAGTGACTTGATTAGATTTCCATAATAATTCATGAATTGCATGATATTCCTCTCTAAAATAAGAATTCATACTTTTTAATGCTTCAAAGTGAGATCTTTGTTCTTGGGTTAATTCCCACCATGTATCTTCCTGTTCTAATGTTTCATGTCCAACCATGTTTTGATTTGTGGAATCTAAAACATCTGCACCAATACGACCACACGCCATAGCAACAGTTATATCAATATTTATCTTTAATTTTGCATCAATATCCGTATCTGTTTCAAATTTGAATTGTAATCTGCTATCAAGATAATAATTTGTTTCAGCTATTATAAGATAAGTAATAGCACAGATTGTAAATATAGAAACTATAAATAAAAACATACTATTATAGTTAGACATAATGAAAACACTGAATAATACAATAAAAAACTTACATGTTCCTCCAACTGCAGTTTTGTCTACATAGGGTTCAAGAACTTTAGGAAATGCATCCAATTCTTTGACAGTTTTAATATTAACATTACGCCTTCGTAACATTTTGACAAATTTTTAAATTTAAATATGAATATGTAATAATTTATTGTCTAACTAAATTCAACTAACCTATAACATACGTAAAATTATATTTACATATCATCTACTCAAATTATATGGCTATTTATCAATATTATTACCTTAATGTAACCATGAATAGTATGTACATATTTACAAATATAAATACATGTTTAACATAAAGTATCTTAAGCATATATTAAATTTAATATCTCAAGTATTTACACGTTATAAGCGGAAGTTTTGATACAAACATTAAACATTTTACTATTTAACAAATTTAAAGCCTTCAAAAATAGGTGAAGGTTGATTATTTCGTACGATAACCAAAAGCGCCACCTTACATATGAAATGAATATAAATTAATTGAAATTACCAATCAAATGTTTCAATGTAATGAAAACATCGACTGACGCTATGATAAGATAAAATAAGAAATCTTTGTTCGAAATATTGATAAGTATAGTTTATGAATTTTTATTTATGATTTATTTATTTAATTACGAAATATTTGATGGAATAATTACCTGTATATACATTTATGAAGCTTTCAATGTATTGGATACTTTTATAGTTGAATAAATACGTCTTATCACTTCAATGATTTAAAGCATTCCTTATCTTAAATGATTTTTACATTTAACATTCACATCGGAAATAAGTGATTTTGCAGTTATGGACGACTACCCATTATGTTCTTTGTATTGAAAGCTTAAATATAAATAAATAAGTAATCAGATAAATGTGAATTATATACACGTGTTTTATTAAGGAGTGTTAACTTTAATTTAAATGCATACATATTACATCCTTATGTTATTTTGCATTTTTACATAATAATTTAATATAAAATTTATTATCAGTGTTTATATCAATAATACTGTATATTTGTGTTATAAATACTTAGTATATTTATTTATTTATTCCTTTACTAGATGTTATTAACTCATTATATAGTAAACAGAAACAATTAACTTTCATTTATGTGTACAATATATATAGTATAAAAAGTAGTTAAAAATACATACATATATATAAAGTGCCTTAAAATGTTAACTTGTGAAAAGTTTTATTTTGTGCGTGAAATTTAATTTCTTTTCTAAGCATTATTAAAAGCAGTTTCAACAATTATTTTTATTTTAAGTGTATAATTATATCTATTAACATAAAGTAGCATATAAACAATAAAACGTATGTAACAATTATAGTGAATCAACTTTTTATTAATGTGTAAAGTATTAAAAGATTAAGAACACAAGATGCCAGGTACTTTGACCTACCCCATATTTGCTGGTGTTGAATCATCTTCTCAAAGAACTCGTGCTTATACTTGGAATACCCAGCATCGTTCTACATCACGGGTATTACAAGTTAACAGAAGACCAGGACGTCTTTCACTAACAGAACCTGCAGTATGTAAATAATTATATTTCTTTGTATATGTTTAAATTATATACATTATCTCACAGTAATAACATAGAAATTATTCATTTTTATTATTATCTTATGATAATGAATTGAAAAGTCAAATGAAAAAATAACTTATTATCGTATATTCTGTTTTAATCCTCTTATCATTGTCAACACAAAGACCTTCTGATATTAAAACAATACTTTGTTAATCAACAAACTGTGAAAAAAAGCACTCCAAAATACGTGAGTCACTTTTTACGTGCTTCAGTCGTAAAAATATAATAGTAACGTCAAAAAGTAATTATGTTTGAGTCAAAAATTAAATTGGTATAATTTCGATTACGTTGTTCAACGTACTACGTGTAATAACAGGAGATATCTATTTAGGAAAATTTAACGAGATGTTCGCAAGCGCATTAGAAGTTTATTTTAGCGGTACTTAGAATTGTTCTGTATGTATTTGTTATATAACTATTTATTTAGTAGATATGTCACTGACAAAAATTAACAAAAGTTTAAAGAGATATGTTTCGTAAAATAAACAACTATTTGTTATAAATAATAGTATATTTCTTTTACTTAAAATGATGAAGATGAATTTTAGTCACGTTTGAATATTTAAAAGGAAGTTAGCCATCTTTAAGCGCGAGTATGTCATATCCGTTTCGTTCATGCAAGAGCAACTGAGAGAGGTTAAGACAAAATAGGTTTCTTGATGGCACATAAGAAACTGTGAACCTCGTTAAATTGTAAAAAATAGCAATCGACGATTAGAAAAAAATCGATTACACATAACGTTAATGGCAGAGGAACATGTTTATGGGTATAATCCAACGTCTGGAGCTGACGGAGAATCCGTACGTAACTACTTTGACAGTTTGACAAGTACAGGTTGGATTTTTGATTGATAGACCTCTGGAAGGGTGTTACTTCTAGATAGTTGTTGATTTTATAATTAGTAATATTATTGTGCCAACAATAAAATTTTTATGTAATTAATAATCATAATACGAATTATTTTTATACTTTTTTTTTTTGTTAAGGAGCACTAATAAATTAATAAAACACATTGCTAATAATATTTTTATATTTATATTACCCATCTACATAAAATTTAATACAACGTTTTTCTCTTAATATTTCATGCATAATTTTATATATTATCGTAGCGATTTATATTTTATACGTATTTACGTTCAATATCAAGTATAATTTAATAAAATAATTAACAGTTAATTATAAAAAACGAGCGGAAAATTTTTGTTGTAGTTATTAATACAAAGAACAAATAAAATATTTAAGCAATAGTTTGCTCAACCAAGTTTACTATTTTTTCAAGTATATTCGATTTACATGTTTTAGAATATAATTTGATGATATAAATTAGATTATCATGACTGATATAAGTCACAAATATGAATTCTAGAAATTTAAAAACTCTGCTCCAATGTATTTTTTCAATTTTTTATATTTACATATAGAGAGATGAAGCTACTCGCAAGCTGAGATTGAAAGTGATCGCTGGACACCAACTAGCAAAAAAAGATATTTTTGGTGCAAGCGATCCCTATGTGCGTGTTGACTTAAATACTATAAATGGTGACCAGACAATAGATTCTGCACTTACAAAAACAAAAAAAAAGACATTAAATCCCGTCTGGGAAGAAGAATTTATATTTAGAGTAAGATTAACATATTTGTAGTATAAAATACCTAGATAAATCTAATATGTTAATGAATATGTATATCTTTCATTGTTAGGTTAAGCCTGTTGATCATAAATTGGTGCTACAAGTTTTTGATGAGAATAGATTGACAAGAGATGATTTTCTTGGAATGGTAGAATTAACATTACTTAATATACCTAAAGAACAAGAAGGTCGTACAATTCCTGGTAGGCGTTATTTACTTCGACCACGTAGGTAAGTATTTTTATAATATATGCTTAAAGCTGTGTATTTTTATATATTTTAAAGGTTTAATCTGTTTAGCTTCCTGTTTAAAATTATTTGGCCTCAAACTACAGATATGATATGATAACTATATATGCTACTAGAAATTTTACATATAATAAAACTAATTGAATTATGCCAATTTATTCATTAATTTTCATTTTCATTTTCATTTTCATTTTCATTTTCATTATGTTCATGTGCACATTCTATATATATTTTGAATCATTTTTTCTTCTAGTCATGTTTATTGGCTGTATATCACCAGTTTTCATGTTTATTTCATTAATATATTTTTTTCGTATCTTTTATTTGCAAATGCAAAATGAATAACTTACGAGGATATGGCTAGTAATCATTCCAGTCAGCGTTCAAGAGTGAAGGGTACTTTGGAGGTATATCATGCATATATGTCTGACTCATCCACTGTGGACAATGAAAATGGAGATACTGCATCTGAAACAGGAAGCTGGGAAATGGTGCAACCAACAAATAATAGTCCTGTGGAACAGGTTGCAGAAGTATGTACAGTTACATATATACAATACTTTATATGAAATATATTAAAGATGATGCTATTCTACATACCAAATAATGCTGTGATTAAACATTTCTTTAGATTATGGTTATTACACCTTTACCACCAGGTTGGGAAGAAAGACAGGATGCAAATGGGCGAACATATTATGTTAATCATATAGCAAGATTCACACAATGGGAACGTCCAATAGAATCGTAAGTAACAAATGTTATGTATCTATTTAACATATTGATTACAAATTGGATATAAAGAATAATGTTGATATATTGGCATTTATTTATAGTACTACTTCACCTAGTGGAAATACGACAATTGCACGAAATTTCAATACTGCAGCAACTGAATTTCAACGTCGTTTTCACATTAGTGCAGATGACGAAAATAGACAGAGAAGTTCAATTAACCAGGTAACATTGACGATTGCTACATAATAATTGTAAATATCATAAGAAGAATGAAATGAACACATTAAATAATCAGCACTATCTGCTTTCATGTGTTTGTACTATAACAAAATATTATGTTCTAAGCTTTATTTTGAGATTCAGAATTTCTGTAGACTAGTTGTGTGTAAAAAGATACACACACACGCACAAATCATAAAATTTACATGTTTAATATACCAGATACAATATTATAATTATATAATTTAGATACATTTTTGAATAAGAAATATTTATATTCTAATGTAAGAGTAGATAGGAACAATGGCTATATATTTTTTCTGCTTTCTGAGCTATCTCTTTTAACATAGCAAATTAACAAAAATTGACGACTAACCATGTAGTATGTGTAGTATTTTGTAACCCTGCCTGATATCTATAGATGCATTAACATTATGGGATAGTAAACATATGCTTCGATACATAACTATTAATGTGTTACAAGATATGCATGAATGATTGAAAGAAAAAATATTATAGACATGAATAGAGAGGAGTATAAGAATTTTTAACAAATAGAATAATTAGCATGCAGTATGTAGCAATTTTGTGCATGTGTGTGTAAGGATGGTGAAGTTCTCCGCGTGGAAGGTGAAGATTCGGATGCGAGAGATTATGAAATTGAGAATCGTAGGGGAGGGGATAGAGGGGATACGTCTTCAGAGTCTGGACATTCTGTTGATCAACGTGGCTACCTTAGTGAATATGAAGACCAGGTACTCATTCATAGATATAATTACTTTGAAATATTGTTTCTTATTATACTTTTATGTATATTAAAAGGCTTAAAATTTATCAAAAAACGAATGTTTCTCTTATATAATTTGCGTTTGCATTATTTTATGTTTCAACATGATTTGAAAAATATTTGTTGTTAAACTTCACCATGCAATTGGGTATTATGTACTAACTGAAACAATTTTTTATTTATCACTGTTTTTATTAAATATTTAATTAACAAAGTCTTATGAAATTTTATAATTTGTATGTGTATTTAATAATAATTTTATTTTTTTAATTTCTATAATTAATGTATTGTATTATTTTGATTAATTTCGTAATTTGTATTTATTACTAATAAATAATGATAATAAGTTTGTAATATTTCGTAAAATGTTGAATGTATGTAACTTATAGATTTTCTTATACAATATATTAACATTATTATATCCATGAATGTGTTGTCTGAAAATATGCTTCTGTTACATTTGCAGAGTGATGATAATGTGGATAGTCCAAGTGGATCTAGGCGATCATCTGGACAAGTCGGTATTGCATTTTATGTCAATAGTAATTTAATTATTTAGTCTAATTCTTTTATTGGGTTGATATTTAGATTGACAGTCCAAAACCTGTGGTTCCTGTACCAAGTACTGATGGATTACCGCCTGGATGGGGTATGCTAATAGCTCCAAATGGTAGATTATTTTTTATTGATCACATGTCGAGGACAACAACATGGATCGACCCTCGAACAGGGCGTCCGAGTTCAATACCTAATAACATTGGCCCTTCTACAACACCAAGAAGCGATTTAGATCAGCTTGGTCCTCTTCCTGAAGGTTGGGAAGAAAGAGTCCATACAGATGGACGGATATTTTTCATTGATCATAGTATGTCAATATCTCTTTAAATTTTTTAAGATTCGATAATCTTGATTTTAATCAAACAATATTCGTTTTCCTGGATTTCCTCCACAGATACAAGAACTACGCAATGGGAAGATCCTCGTATGTCTAATCCTCAAATTGCTGGACCGGTATGAGTTCCTTCGATCGAAAGATTTAATTTGATCCGAAAGTCGTAATACATGAAGTACATTTCATTCATTCAATTCGTTAATTTTACTATATTTTTACAGGCTGTACCATATTCACGAGATTATAAACGTAAATATGAATATCTTAAATCTCAGTTAAGAAAGCCTGTAAGTATATGATAATGGAAAGATTACTTTTATTCGATTTTTCCTTTTTTTTCTGCATTATAGTAACTATACTGTTTTTTTTTTTTTTTTTTTTTTATTTAGAACAATGTTCCTAATAAATTCGAAATAAAAGTTGGCCGAAATAATATTCTAGAAGACTCGTATCGTATAATTAGTTCTGTGAACAGAGTAGAGATATTGAAAACAAAATTGTGGGTTGAATTTGAAGGAGAAGTTGGTTTAGATTATGGAGGTCTTGCCCGAGAATGGTTTTTCTTACTGTCTAAAGAAATGTTTAATCCTTACTATGGATTATTTGAGTACTCTGCTACGTAAGTACACACACACGCATACACACATATATATATATATATAAAAATAATTTTTATAATGTGAAGTACAAAGAATAGTAGTAACTAAAATACTTGTAGGGATAATTACACATTGCAAATTAATCCTTTTTCGGGAGTATGTAATGAAGAACATTTAAATTACTTTAAATTTATTGGGCGCATAGCAGGTATGGCAGTTTATCATGGGAAATTGTTAGATGGTAAGAATTATTTGATTTAATTATAAAATATTTCATATAATACAAATATAAGAAAAAGCTTTTATTCTTTTACAGCATTTTTCATTCGTCCATTTTACAAAATGATGTTAGGAAAATCTATTGATTTAAAAGATATGGAAAGCGTTGATTCTGAATATTATAATTCGTTATTATGGATTAAGGAAAATGATCCTAGTGAATTGGAACTTACATTTTGTGTTGACGAAGAAAGCTTTGGCCATACATCTCAAAGAGAACTTAAACCAGATGGTGCTAATGTACCAGTAACGGACGAAAATAAAGATGAATACATAGCTTTAGTGATACAGTGGCGTTTTGTATCAAGGGTTCAAGAACAAATGAATGCATTTTTGGAAGGATTTAACGCTCTTATACCACCAACGTTAGTAAAAATATTTGATGAACATGAATTAGAATTGCTAATGTGTGGTATCCAACATATTGACGTGAGAGATTGGAAACAAAATACATTGTATAAAGGAGATTATCACGCTAATCACATCGTTGTTCAATGGTTTTGGAGAGTTGTACTTTCATTTAGCAATGAAATGAGATCCAGACTTTTACAGTTTGTTACCGGAACATCAAGAGTACCGATGAACGGTTTCAAAGAACTTTATGGTAGTAATGGTCCACAATTATTTACAATTGAGAAATGGGGTACACCTGACAATTATCCAAGAGCTCACACCTGGTATGTAATTTTAAGTTTATATGTAGTTCTTAAACAGAAGCAAATTTCACAATTACTCTAATTTATATAAATTAAAAGGAAAAGATAAGAAAAAGTGCAAGATTATATCTGATGATGAATGTTCCCTTTTCAGTTTTAATCGTATAGATCTCCCTCCATATCAGAGTTATCAACAATTGAGAGAGAAATTGGTAAAAGCAATTGAAGGTTCTCAAGGTTTTGCTGGAGTGGATTAGCACGAAATACCCTTTTTCATGATGATATCTGTAATATAATGTACATATATACATAACACATAGATACACAACCACGTATACTGTCTAATATGATTAACTATTTAACAGGATAAACATTTTTCTGCACTCTGAAGACTTAGGTGTCTTTTGACTGCTAGTTTCAACATTGAGACAAATCAATGAAAAATACGTTTAGATATACTTAACCACTATCAATAATTGAAAAAAAAATTTACGCATGATGCACTTTAAAAATTACAAGCTATATTTAACAAACAGAAGAAAATAAATTAATAGTAACCTCAAATGCTGCTTCAGCAATTGATGAATTACAATTTATTAACTTGTTCACTATTTAAATGTAATTTCATATTTTGATGGTTACTACACTTTAAAATGGTTCTTTGGGAAACTTTTATTTGCCATTATAAAAAAAGGAAAAAAACATTAAACTGATATTAATTGTAAATAACTTTAAGATAAGAGATAACAATCTATATATTAATTACTTATCTCACTTTGTTGATGAAATGCCTTGTTACTAAAGGAATTTATAGGTAATATGCGTTTACATATTTAAGAGGTCAAATTATTCTTAAATATATAAAGAACAAAAAAAGAAATTCTAAGTTATATTATATAGCATTTGTTACAATTTTCAGATATTCGAATATCAGTTATGTTCAATTTAATTAAATATCTATAAAATTGTTTCATATACAATGACGCTACATAATTTGTGACAAATCATAATGTTGATGTCAATATATATTTCGCTTAATTTTAAAATACAACTTATTAAAAGAATGTTTTATATCATAAATAGAAATTTCATTCGGTTCTTATATAGAATAACTATATCTTTCAAGACTCACATATTATGCACGTTTACATATTCTCTTATGAACATTCTATTGTAGTAACAAAGACTAGGAGATATATTTTGTTTTTGAAAAACGTATAGTCGTATAACTGTACAAACAAGTTTGGAAAATAAGTTTTGAGAAATGAATTGCATTATATTAGAAGATGTAGCAAGAAGAATAACAGACATTTTAAAATACATAATTTGTTTTATTTTTGGTCTATTTATAAATTTATGGCGACGGACACTATTTAATTTAATATACACATCATTGAAAATAAATAATTTTTTTAAGCAGACGTATCTGTTACATGTTTTATTTGTATAATAAGTCGAAAGTTTTGCATATATTCTTCTTGTATGTTCTTCTATGAACCGATAATGGAAAGCCTGCTATACTTAGCTCATTGTATATATAGCATTAAATGAGATAAAAGAAAATAGATATCAAATTGCTTAAACAGCGAAATTTATTTATATACTTTGACAATATATGAAAAAGTGGACATAGTCGATTCTTTCGTCAAAAGTGGTATACAATCTATAAAGTTAATTAACCGAAGGTACCGTAATCAAAGTTGTAAATGCCTACTTTGTACAATAATAGCTATTTCGAAAAAGTAACAAGCATTCTAAAAAAAAAAAAAAAAGAGAAAAAAAAAATATTTAGCATTTAAAGTTAACGAAACATTCCATCCTATTTGTACAGCTTATTTTATTGTAAACAGATACGTCCCATTAGATAATAAATATTATTATTACGACAAAATTTTGTGGCCTTAAATTCCGATTACTTTCGACTTTACGTATGCTGTATGTCTTTTTATGACGAAAATTCGGCTTCTTGTATTTACATAATAAATGTATATTCAATGTGAAACAATGAATTTCAATGTATAACTTTTAAAAAATTAGCTTTATTTGGAAATCGTAGTATTTTTTCCGATAAGTTAAAATTTAATCGGATAGGAAGTTAAGATACGTTAATTGCCCACTTTGCAAGACATATACTTAATTGTTCTTTTCTTCTTAGATATATACTTTAGGACTTGCATATTTTATTGCATAATAGAATATCCAAGTTTTATTTATTATTACTGTTAAACTGTGCCGCAAGATATATTTGTTGCAAGTTTAAAAATAAAACAATTTAATTTCTTCGTATAAATATTTAACGTCGTATCTACATAAATGATTTATCACATGTATGTATAAGTTGGAGAAGATACGTGACGATTATTTTAACTCCACTTTACCTCTCTTTACTTTACATGTAAATATACAGATATATATTCTATATACATATATATTATATATATTATTATACATGTATTAAATATATATATTATATATATGTATATAATTTGTTAGCTAGACCTTGCGATTATTCATTATTACCGAAACATGGCGAAGTTATACATCGTAATAGTTAAGCATTGATATTACAATTAATAAACTTAAGATTGCGAACTAACTTATGTTCTTATATAATGCTGTGGAAAATAAATCTATATATACAAATAAATTATACCATGTTGCATAACCTATTTTAGAGGGTAATGATTTTATTATATCCTTATAGATATATGATGGTAATTTAATAAAAGAAGAAAGGAAAGAAAAAACTACGCATAATAGACATTTTTATACTTACTTTACGAAGTACGTATACATTTGAATACTCGTAGTCGTTGAATTTTACGAGATCATTCAAATATTCCCGGTTATTCGTGAGGCGAATAGTTGAAGCAGCGGTCGTCAGATGGCGCTAGTGGCGAGCACATCCGCAGAATCAAAAAAGACAGCTGGGAAGTGTAACATCACACATCGATTCGGCGGCCTGCAAGCTCGAAAAACTTTCCGTTTCCGCGTTTCTTGCGACTACTGATGTTTCTTTAAGAAGTAAACGGTGGTCCGTCGCGTTCGTTTGATCGGGACGCGTGTGGTGCGGTGTAGAAAGTGACCGTTCTACGAACCGATGTGCTGATAGAAACGTGACTGTTGGTTATGCGGTGGTTCCTGTCACGAACAGCAGCCCTTGTTCAACCCCCGTTTCACGAATCTCGCAGCGACGAAGGAGGGAAGCTCTGCATGATACAAGCGTGGAGGTCACTGCATTGCGGTGAGTACAATGAACGCTACCGCTTACTTTCGCCGATATATATGTCTCGGTAATTCGATTTCTGCTTTTTTTCTTCGTGAACCGATATAAACTAACTGGGTTCATTACTCTCTTCTCGTAACGAACATGGTTATGTTTGCAATTTCGTTACGAATAATTAGAACGCGTTTTATCCGTTACATCTTTCTCGTTCGTATCGTGTTACTCGAAACGAATAACGAGTAGCATGAAAGAGAAATTGGAGAGAGAGAAGTATGCATCGTATCGTTTATGCGTCGTATCGAAAGGTTCATTTTCGGCGGATCGGACGATTTTGGAGCGGCACGAGGACAAGGCAACGTAAGAACGAAACGTGTCGGCGAGTTTTCATTCATACGACGCGTGACGCACCGTGCCAGGCTTGAAGCTAGAGGTCGAAAAAATTTCGGCGAAAAACGCTTCGGTCACGGCATATCGAAAGCGTGTGTCACGTTCGCGGCACGATTAAAATCTGTCTCTTCGTATCGGTACGGCGGCATCGAAATTTCAGACAGTTCTAGGCCACGTACGTGTGCATCAAATATTTGTATGCGCACGCAGAAGCACACGTAAACCTCGAAAGTGTCGACGACACCGTACGACACGAGCTGCGAATCCTTTCGGCGATCATAATACGAACTTTGCTCGCGACGTTATATCCTCGCTGGCCACGAGATAAAAGCTTTCTCGATTAACATAAGAGACCGGAGTCGGTGTCCGCGCGGTAGAAAAAGGTCGAGCATCAAAGGAACAATTACCGGCCGTGAAATCTGCTTTATCTCGTAATATTACCAAAGTGGTTTATACAAGGCACTTCGTAAACAATAAACGCGGACGGGAAAATAGACGCGTTCCGTGCCACGGGTAAATCGTGGAAAGTGCGTTGAACTCGTAACAGGCTCTCGTATCGAGTTCGTGTGCCGAGTTATATTTGTAATCGATTCGCAGGATCCAAAGGTAAATTCCGGCCATTGTCGCGCCGGTGTATAGATAGAAAGGAAAGTTTTTCCCTAGGACACTACGGACCAATGGTCGATCCCTGACTTCTTGGAATTCTGTCAGCTATTATAACCCATGGTCGTGTAACGCTAATGCAGGCTACGTGCTTGGCTGTAACAAAAGCTTCGTCTCCGGCGTTGATCGGTACAAGCTGACACGAGCGACGTCGTTACCCGGCGATTGTTCTCTCCGCGTCCTCGGAATATTTATCAACGCGACGTACTACAGGGACAATCGCATCCGTACACAACGGCCAGCATCTTTAATAACGGCAAACGCGATTACACGCAGGGCCGTATTGATTTTGGGCGCAAGGTGCGGTGCAAGCCGGTTTCGACCGCTGCCGATCGAGATTAATGGAAAGACGCGTGCGGCGTCTTTTCCGGCCTACGTCTCGGGCTCGGCGCGTCGCTCGTGCGCCACCTTCATACACGCAGCGTCGCGGCGCTCCACCGCGGACGGTTCCACGCCGATTTTTCCCCCATTTTCACCGATTTTCCTCGATTTTTTTCCTTTTTTTTTTTTTAAATTAATGCCTAGATCCTTGCGTTATTTATTTTTCGTGTTTTTCCTTAATGAAAAGACGCGTGCGGCGCTTTTTCCGGTCTACGTCTTGGCCTCGACGCGTCGCTCGTGCGCCACCTTTGCACATGCAGCGTCGCGGCGCTCCGCTACGTAGAGGTGCACGCCGATTCCACGCCGATTTTTTCCCCATTTTCACCGATTTTCGCCGATCTTTTCCCTTTTTTCTTAAATTAATGCCTAGGTCCTTGCATTATTTATTTTTCGTGTTTTTCCTTAACCCATTTGCATATGAACAGAATTTTTGTGCATAGCTACAAAACGTATGTACATTGTTTTGTACTAGGGACCGTGTTTGTAACATAACTGTTATTTTAATCCCTTTATTTCCGATAATTCTAAAGACTTTATTATTTCTTATTACGACTGCAAACTATTCATAAAGATTGAGCATTCCGCGTCTTCGAGCAAAAATTAGCAAAAGTGCAATTGCAGAAAATAAAGCAAAAATAAAAACATCAGCCACAGGAGAAATTACATCACGTTCCTTATTACCATCGAAATTTTCTGGCCACCATTTTTTAATACTCATTGAAACAATTTCACCATGGAAAGCTCGTAAATGTTGTGTAATTTGTTTAACACAAAAGAGGACAAAAATTCATTTTATGAATAGTGCTATAATGTGATAATTGCCCTGTGGCTATATATATTCACCATTTCAAGT